AGCAGTCACACATACTAACGTAAGCACTTGAATGAAATCATTCACAAGCTGTACACATCACATTGACAACGTAGGATCACAATGCTCACACGTGTACACAGCAAATGTTTTCCACTTTAGACAAACACATGTGGAATAAATTAGATACAAGATTAGATGTTAACATGGTTAAGGCTGCAACGGTTTTCTCAAAAAGTAGAACCGGTTAACTGTAAAATGAAACTATATTTAACTGACAGTTTCCCATTTCCAGCATTTTCAAATTAACATGTACTAAGCTGTTGGTTATGATAAAAATATTGTTATTATTAATATCATACTTTCATCACAACTGATACACAAGTTTACTCATACTTTTTAAGCTTGGAATACAGGGTTCCAATACCAAAGCTTCATCTGATTCTGTTTTGTTTAAGCAGTTGGGTGGATCAAATTTTGGAAAATATCATCTTATTTTCTATACCAATACATTGCAAAACTTGTTATGGCCAACCCACAAAGCAATGCAACGCTGAAGTTTCGACAACATTTATAACAAGTCAAGAATATCAGGTACACTTGCATCTTCTCAACATAATAATAATATCACATTTACCTTACTACCAACACATTGGTCAAAGACAAGCTCACTAAAACAAGTAATGTTTGCAGGGCTTATAAGAGAAATCTATAAGGCTACTGGTTATACCTTTTGGAATGGGAGAATGGTAATGTCACAATTAACCGGTTCTTGAAAATGAAGCCAGTTGTGTGGCATAACCTTGCCCAGATGGGTGTACCGGTAAACCATTGCTGCCTTAGTAGATGTCTTATCATCTTGTCAGTCAGCTCTCTCATTGTAACTAGTGTTTCAAGATAAAATCTTCAGTATCCTCAAACATAATCTCTCAAACAATAATCACTGTACAATAGATTTTAAATACTATTTACAGGATGATAAATATCGTGAATAAAACAGGCATCAACAATAAATAGAATCACCAATATATGACCATACAAAGATAAAATGTACAAGGTAAATTGCAAGGTGGGGTCCATTCATGCTGCCTGACACGCATCAGTGAGCGAGTGCAAGTACACCATTTATTTTGTTAATTATCATAGTTGTGCTTTTCGGGTTACGTCAACTCGAAAAGGATCAACTCGTCATGAGGGACAAGTCATGTATTGAGGATCCCATGATACAAGGGACCAGTCATTTATTGAGGTTCCTATGATACAAGTGACCAGTCACTTATTGAGGGACCAGTCATTTTTACAGAATTAACAAGTTATGAGGGACTGGTCACTAACACAGGAGGCTCATCTTCCCAAGGCAAGCTTGTGCACTAGCCTATATCAAAGCCTAGTTTCTACCATTGCCACATTAAGGCCACTTTTCATGGCTCGACCCTGGTGCCACCTCGCATAGATCATGAGTTGTACCCCTTGTAATGAAAACGCGATATCCAGTGAGATCGCTGTTCTTATCTCATATAGCTGCACAAAGATGGCGACTACCATTCACGATGACCTAGTTGAACAGATAACAAAAATCATCCGACACAAAAACCAGATAGGCAATCGTTGGGGGTATTTAAAGATGAAAAAAGACATATTCCAGAGGCAAATAACTTTCATATGAAAGTACCAGTCGTGGATGTTGATTTTGTGAAACATTCTCTGACTGGACTATCAGTATATGTGATAGTCCAATCATATTTAGCACAGGAAAGTGGGCTTAATGTGGCAAGGGTGGAAACAAGACTTTGATTTAAAAGGCTAGTGGATGCTCTTGCCTCAGGAAGATGCATGAGACTGGGCCTTGAGACTTTTATGTTAGGTAGGGTGTGACCAAAGTTTGACTTCATAAATTGACATGTTAATCTGGAAATCCTGTTGCTAAAAACTAACCAACTGAACATCAATTTTTCTCCAATCCATATGGGCCCATAATATCACTTGCCACTTTCAATGGCACACAAGCACACATACTCTAAATTTTGTTCAATGTAGTACATTGGGGTGAATCACATGTTAATCATCTTCCTGAAGCAAGGGAGTTAAATGACAATAAAAGTCCTGTTTCAACCCTTACTGAACTGGAGTGAGGTTGGGTGAAATGTTTTTTGTAACATCTCATGGAGTGGCTATTAAGAGTTATGTCCCTCCTATTGACCAATCAGATTCCACCTATCGTATTATTTGCATTGGCTTAAAAAAATGGCGACACCCAGTCAAGACATATTTTGTAATAGAACTGGTCTTACCTTGCGAAATGCATCAAATTACTTGAGCACCTTGACTAAAAACATGAAAAGATTTAGAAAATATCTGTCGACGCCCAGTTGATGGTACACATGCTTTGCAAATCCTGCAATCGACCGAAATCTGCATGGCAGTTTACAAACCAAATATTGATTAGATTATGAGATTTTGATCGGAGTACTCATAGACTCTTTAGTCCAGCCAAAGCATAAATCTGAAATTCCAGCCTAGTTCAGCAAGGGTGGAAACTGGACTTTTATAGTTTGTTAACTCTCTTGCCTCAGGAAGACGCATGTTAATGTAAATACTTGAGGTATGAGAAATAGAACAAAATGCTTTACCCATTTTTTCACTTTTTAAGGTGCAATATCGGCGACTCTTTAAAACTAAATCTGAGTTTTGGGAATAGACAGGTACTCCAAATAAGGACATATATATTTCCCTGCACTATGCAGGCTGTTACAAGGGAAAGCTCAAAAGGCTATCAGATAAACTTAGATTCATCATACTTGACCAAGGGAAGAACCTGTCATGGGGTGAAAACTTAGTGGTTGTAGAAAAGAGACCTTCAAGAAACTTGACTGTAGAATAAAAATATGCCATTGAAAAATAAGACCAGTTCAAACTTGCACCATAAAAATGTAATATTTTGTAAGAATATTTTTGTTACATGAACGTTTCAACCCTGTTTTAAAATTTCACATTAGATGTGAAAAGCTTTACTAATATTTAATGCCAGTACAAATAGAAACTCACTCTTTCTATCAATAAGCCAAAAAAAATGAAATGATTATAGCTCTTAAAATGCCAATGTGTAGCACATGGACACAGCTGAATGACCCCCACCTTTTTAGAATGAGTACATGGAATATACAGCACAAACCCTGAGAGACACTGCACCCATTGTTAGGGATGGTTTCATACGTTATAGGTCATTTTCCAACTTTATTTCAATAGCAACATATCTCAAATGAGTTCAAAATGGGTGGCTCTTTCAGAACAGAATAGATGTGAAGTAGCTCATCTACTCAATCTTCTCAAATCTGAAGAAACAACTTGTGAGACGACCCCTCGCTGACTTCATGTTAAAAGCACAATATAGAAATGTGAGGAGGTAAATAGTGCCATCTCAAATAAAACAGATTATTCAAAGCAAACAAAGTGACTATTTAATTAACTTCAGAATTTATAAGTAATATCATTAACAGAGACTAGCAATTAACCATTACATTAGTTAGGTAATGTTAAATTCAGATCTAAAAACACTGTTTATCATTCAACCTCTCACCCAAACAGCAATTAAGTAAGTGCTGCCCTTCTATAGACGTTAAACAGCATTTTAAATTACAAACACATCACAGACCTATCCAATTTTATCACCATGCAATCCTTATTTGACACAAAAAAAGACAGGGATTTAACTTCTTATTTTACCTTTTGAAGTTATCTCCCTTGCAAATGAGTAATGACCTTGAGAATGTGACATGCTGAATGCTGAAAATGGCAGTTGTTATGATACACGTAATTCTTTCAACATTTAATCACCAAGAATATATCTGCAAAACATGTAACAGCTTGTTTTGGCATCAGTCTGTGTCAGTGGACTAGATCAACTAAAATAGTTGCGGAATTACATTTGGATGAACAGACATAGTTCTTCAAAACAGATATGTATAAAACAGACTACATAAAGGTTGACAAATGGAAAATGGAATATCCATTTTCATTCTTTTGCCATGACCCAACTATTTCATCACCACTGTGTCAGTCTTGGCATCAAATGTTGAACAAAACACAGAAGAAATGGTCACTGATATTTTCAATGAAATAGCTACATGTATCTACTGTCCAAGTAGGTTTGAGAGACTGACAATACTGCCAATACTGCCATTTAAAACAAGATACTGCAAAGGTAAGATCCCCTTTGCACACAGCCGAAACTAAGCAAACACTAGCAACTGTCTTATTGCACTGATAGAACTTCACAGGGCTAAACATATCTGCACAGAAGTTTTACAGTCAAGCAGGTCATGTTCAACATAGATTCTTGAATACACAAATCTAAAACACATTGTCAATATCAGCTGTGACATAGTCAGACATGGAAAGAATGTGGCTATAACACAGTCAGTTTTAATGCCTTATTCTGACCCACTGTGAAAACGCAACTGTATGTTTCTCTTGTCATTACACAGGCGGATAGAGTTGGGGTGCAGAGGAATTCTATGTTTCAGACATCTTAATTTATGTGTCTCAATGTCCCTTTGATATGGTTTGTTCATTTTGTGACTTGTCAGTAGTATCAATTAATTCAGAAAGTTCCAAAATTATGAAAGAGTTTGAAATGTTTACAATGTTTTAGAGATAGCTGTTTCTGATTTTCATGACACATTTGTAGTCATTTTGTTATCATGACTAGGCTATTGTGTGCAGACCAGGGCTTAGTTTAATACTTCTTTGAATAGTATTTCAGTTGTGTCCAGCGTGTCGGCTTGATGTGGGAGGAAACACAAAGTGGTACAGGTCTTAAACATGTTCCACTTCGATGAAACCCACGAGCATGAGTATGGTGACAACCTAGAAACATCATCAGGGTGAACCTTGGATTCAAACCCATGATCAGAGGTTTCTGGCACACCCTTCTTCTTGTTTCTTGTCTAACGCCGCACTCAGCAATATTCCAGCTATATGACGGCGGTCTGTAACATAATCAAGTCTGGACCAGACAATCCAGTGATTGACATCATGAGCATCGATCCACGCAACTGGGAGCGATGACATGTATCAACCAAGTCAGTGAGCCTGACCACCCGATACCGTTAGTCTTCTTTCACGACAAGTATAGTCGCCTTTTACGGCAAGTATGGATTTACCCTAGAGATGCATCTCTGCACCATGAATTGCAGCTCCTCAGATGAAAGGCCACCTGTGCCCTCCGTGCCCCCAAGCCTACAGAGACCAGGACTTACCAAACCCACTATATTTCCTGACATCTGCCACATTACACAATACACAGCTGCCCCAGAATATCACACACTGATAAATGTCTTCATAATTTCTTTACAACTTAAATCAGGATTGCGTTTTCATAGTGTTTCACAATTCTAAGGGTTGTAAACATAACAATTCAAGTGAATTGCAATGAAACAGGTGTGCATCCTATGATTAACCCAACCTGTCTATCACATTGTATCAGTATGTAGTAAAATATTCTCTTGCGTAATGGACAGTCCACAGATGAGAGCACTTAGCCAAAATATACTAAACACTGTAGCTGCAGTCATACCTGGCTATCACGCTTCAGGTGGGTGAAACAAAAAATTTGAATTTCTGTAAACCATCGTTGGTGAATGTTTTTTTATAATATTCACACATGGCTTACAGATAGAGGAGTAGAGATATCACAAAGGGTAGAAGTACGAGTGTGTCGTTTGTCTATAGAGGATCTGGATGGAGGTGTATTCATAGCTATGTGTTGTGGGCAAAATGAAACTTGGCTCCTTGATCAAGGACATACACACTTGCATCAACCAATGACAAGGACACCATCAAACAGGGGAGATTACTCTAAAGTTGTGTAATCTGATACAATCAGGGTTGATGTGGACAGACTATAATTGAAAAATTGGTGAAAATGTTTTTCATAAATAAAATCAATCCGGTATTATACATTATTTTCAATTAAAAAATGCTAATAAATGCAATTATTCCCATCAATATACTTGACATTAGTTCCCTTTAAATTTCTACTTCAGTACATGAACTGCATCGCATGGATCATAAAAATCATTATAAATATCCTTTGGCATGTGTTTCTGCATATTGAAGAGATGTTATCAGTTGTTTCCCTTGTAAATGACCTTGACCTAGACATGTTTGATGATCCTTGACCTTGGTTGCTGAGTGTGCACTGGTGACCATCAGCTGACATGACCTGCATTCTCTTGCTGTGATGACCCAAAGAGGAACCGGTTGATGATACTGCGAATTGCGTGGTACATGTGCTTGGGGAGAGCACATGGCTGCATCTTGGTCAACATCTTCCCACAATGGCTGATGTAGTCAGTGAATGGGGTTAAGGTAATAAATATACTGAGACAGTGAACTGGTCCACCAGTACTGAATGTGTCTCAGACAGCAATTTACAAGACAATTCTGTGAATGATTCTTAATGAAACTATAAGTCACTTATAAAGGGTGTTTAGAAGAGGGTTGAAAGTCATTGTCATTGTTTGCTGCACTCAGCAATATTCCAGCTATATGACAGCGGTCTGCACATAATCCAGTGATTGACATCATGAGCATCGATCCATGTAATTGGGATACGATGACATGCATCAACCAAGTAAGCGAGCCTGACCACCTGATCCGGTTAGTAGCCTCTTACGACAAGCATGGGTTGCTGGTGACCCCCGGATCTTCACTGCTTGAAAGTGTAAAGGTTTATGACAGAGTTTGAAACATATTTTAGTTATGTTGTTTAATGCGCACGTAGCCAAATTCCAGCTAAATAAGAGCAGCCTGTATATCATCAAGTATGGACCATACAAACCAATGATTGAGGATCGATTCATGCAGTCGGGGTAGTATGACTTGCAATCAACCACGTCACCAAAAATGACATAGCTGGCTAGTATCGAACCTGGAGTCCCAATGGGGGTCTGTCAGGTCATGGTATGTTGGCTTAATTTGTGAGACAAACCAATGCAGGTCACAAACGTTTACAACAGTGGTGAAACCACTGAACACAGGTCCCATGATGATGACAGGGATGAGAATAGATATTTTCCCTTTCAGCTGAAACATCTTAATTCTTTGCAAAGGAGCATGGTCCATAATTTGGGGGTGTATATGGGGGAAGCCATCAGATTTTAACAAACTTGTGGTCACTAAAATTTGCAGAAATTTGCAGATCTGCGGATGATTCTCAACCCTGTGATGATTATTTGGGTGAATATGGATGACTTAAACCCAAGATCAGCAGATCATGGCACAGGATGCCACTCTTCACAGCAAACTGCACCACCAATGCCCCCACATGTGAAGAGGCAAAATAGAAACCCCAAACCCTTCACCAAAGATAGCCCCTCTTCTGTGTTGGAGGTAAAAATTGATTGGGGCTTCCTAGTGACATCTTTACTTCAATAATTGTAACAAACTTAATCTTTGTATATGCCTCCTGCCATCTTACTCATTCGTCACCACTCACCCCTTTCTGTAATCTGCAAGAAGCCTGGTCCCCCTATCGAAGAATGTTATGCGCTAAAATATGACAAACCAATCAGAATGTGCGTATGATTTCAAGTTCTTCATCAAAGAATCCCTCATAAATATTTTGATTTAACATATGTCTTTCATCTAAAAATATACCCTAGAAACAGTTAAATGTGTTCAATCATACTGTATAATTCCTCATGTCCTGTTGTGCTTTAAATTGCATCTGAAATATATATAATATATGGGGAAATATATGTGAACCATTACGCAACAAGTTGACAATTGTTTTAGGTATGCCCATTTGACCTAAGACGGAACCCGGTCACAAAATGGCCATGAGAGGGGCACAAGTCGCTATTCGGCTTGTCCCGGAATACATGAGTTGGTCACGAATGCCATCTAACTGTGTCATGAGCCTTCTTCTTATTATATTTCTTCTCTTCTCTACTCTGTCATAAGTCAAACCACATGATACAGAAAGTCATACTTTTCTCACAACGTTGCAAGATATTTTGACTAAGATAACTTTGTGGATCCCTAAAGATGTCACAGAATTGTGATGGGTGTGCTACAAATGCTTTGATGATTGGGCCCCAAGATTCCAAGAATATCCTGATGGTGATACATAGAAAAGGATATATGATGGACCAAGGTGGCTGTCCCCCATTGACATAGAGAACATATGAGAAGCCATCCCTAGGCTTGCCCTGTATGGAGTAGTAGTACGGCAGGAAGCTGTGGGGCTTGAAGTTCCGATGTTCGTAGAAGCGCAGTGCCACTGAGTTGGTAGCCAGGACGTGCAGGTAGACCGCCTTGCAGTCGTAGCCCTCCTTGGAAGTGAGAAAGGACAGCAGGCTATCCAGGAGAAGGGAGGCTGTGGAACGGTGACAATACATCAGAACACAAACAATGTCAGCACTGTTTTTCAACATTTTCAATATAATGTGTTTGCGTGTGTTCAGCTCTGATCAGAGTGGGAAGTGATATATTCGGCATGGTTGCCATGGTGTCACATTTAATAAGAGTGAAATCAGAATTCTGTGGACAGAATGGAAACAATTGTGGCGTTCTTGAAGGGGTGCCATCTTGTTTACCAAAAGCCATACTGATTTCTTTTTGATCAGGAATCCCGATTCCATGTTTACATTCGATGAAATCAAGTATATATATTTGGAAGTAAGTGATTATGGAAGTGATAGTTTTTTAAGATTTTAAAAATATTTCATGATTTGTAGCCAATCAGAGATGTAGAAGTGTGCTAGAAATCCTACTCTCTTGTGGGACAATCTGTACCCCCAGTAGTGACACATAGACAGACTGACATTAAACGAGGGACAGATGAGGGCATACAGTAACGCAGCGAGGAACTCACCTATGCCATTCCGCCTGAAGTCCCCCACCACACCAAGACTGAGGATGTAGGCCACCTGAACACTTGGCCCATAGTAAGAGGCCAGAATATCTGCATCCTGAACGAGTCAAACAAACTGACTTCAGTATTGTTGTGTTCATGGAAGTATAAAAGTATAAAAAATGTGTAAATCCGCATTATACAAAGTGTGCACTCTGTTTTTAACATCTATAACTCAAGGTTCTACTACACAAAATCAGAACCAGTTTGGACAGTGCAGTTTTCGTAGGGAGCCTTCAGTGCAGATCGAGAGATATCTGCAGGTTGTGAATGGAGGATATTCTGTAAGATTTTTATGTCTTTCAAATGTACAGCCATCCAGTTATTAAAACTGACCATGTTTTTCTATATTTAGTACTGTCTTTTTCAACATGATGACTTATGCTGAATATGACCACAGCTATTTTCAAGTACCCGGGTAGGTGACATTTGGTGCGAAACTGGGGGTGGTGTGTTTAGCTTCCTGTACTCGGAAAAGAGCTGGCTGAGTTAGTCATTTTTTATTTTTTTATTGCTGCTCTAAGCCCAAACTGTGCACACACGTACAGGTAATAGCTGTTGAATGCTTAGTTACTTTTTTTAAAAATATAACGTTACTATAGAAGTCTATGGGAAAACATTTGGTTGTGTGTAACCTCAAACAGCAACACCATTTTGAAGTCAATTCCTATACATAAATATGTCAACAATATTAACTTCACAGATTGCTTATTTTGTTATTAATACAAACAACTGTATAGACAACAATACGAAATCAGTGACTTTGTTCCACACAATGACACAACACACGCCTCACCAATACTATCATCAGCCAATCAGAAAACCGCAGACTGTTAGGGAGCTTGACCTAATTCTTTTCAGTATATGGAAACAAACGCCCAAAAATTTTGTTGGTTAGCCAATCAAATGCAGAACCACTTGCAATATATTTCTATGACCACAACAAATCCATAGGATCTGCACATTGTTAGCATAACAGCACTGAAACTTTTGGTGAGCTTAGTATAGGAGCATAGCCACTGTGATGCAGGCTTGATACATTTACCACTCTGGTGAAACCTACAAGCACTGGTAAGGTTTAGCCAGACAAAGAGCATAATCAGGGCGATGGAACCCACAGAGGATCCTGGCTTGGCTAAGGGATGCAACTCTGCACACATATTGCAGCACCTTACGAAAATTGACCATCTGTGCCATGTACAGCAACAGAAAGAAGAAAAGTAGTGTCATCGCACTCTGTAGCCTACCATGAGGTTTTGATGTGCAAAACATTAAAGTTATCAAATAGTGAAATATTTCTAATTCTCTATTATCCAGGGTATTACATCTCCATTCTACCACCCTCGATTATCCAGTATATCATAGAATAGAAGGGTGATTGCAAAACTGGATAATCAGTGATGCTTTGTTAATGTGGAGAGACCATTTTTAGATGAGAGCCTTGTTGAAGCTGCACTTGTCTTGTTGATGTACCCATAGTATCTGGATACATATCGTACCACGGCCCCATCGTATAGTTACACCTCTATTAAAGAGGTACTCTGCTCCATTCCGGCACCAAATTCCGTGTAGGACTAGACATTGTTAATACTGCCTTGCGTGAAATGGAGACATTGTCTCTATGTAACCAGGGTAATTATTAACTGTTAGGTTGCTATATACCACTCCACTTTCGATAGGGATAATCAGACATGTCATTCTATTTAAATACACATTTGACAATTTATGAGAACAATTTTTTTGTATCATGGAAAGATAAAATTATCCCTATCAAAAGTGGTCAAGGTGCCGCCCAGCCATTGTGGACATAGTTTAGTCCTACCTCCTTGTTGAGCTTGGATCTTGGTTTAATTTCTGCCACAATGAGTCCAATGATGCGAGCTCGGTGGGTGGCGGCCAGGGAGTAGAAGCGGGGATTGGATGTAATGTCATTGTACCACGTGTCAGGGTACCTGAAACATCACCAGCATCCTTCAGACAAAACAGAAATTGATGGGGACTGGTCTGCAAGTTCCACAGACTTGCGACATCTTGTCTTCTTTTAACATGTTCAACTAGTTCAAGTCCTGCAAAACTATAAGATCAAAGAAAGAAGATTTATCATTTAATCAGTTTAATGTTTGTTTGCTTGTTGTTTAAAGATAAACTGAGCAATAATCCAACTATATGACAATAGCCTGTAAATAGATGAGTTTGGATCAGACAATCCAGTGTTTGATATTGTGAGCAGTGATTCAGTCTCATTAAAATCAGATCTTAGTTCTCGCTATCGCTAAACAAAGATCTGAGGACATCCCATTACGGGTCACGCCAGAACGACCTTTCATCCGACCAAACAAAGCATCGCTTACCAGATCATGAAAGTGACAGTCGGAATATGTTTTCTAATCATGCAACCTCAAAAATGTTAACACGGAATATTTTGGATACGATGTTACGTGATCATCCAATTCACCGAGCCTAATTACTCAATCCATTAAGTCGCCTCTTACAACCAGCACATGTTGCTAGGGATCTATTCTAAACCGGAATCCCCACTGGGCTTTGTCTCTGACAAATGAATAAAGTTCAAAGTAAGGTTTAATGTCAAACCAATTTACCAAATTTATCTACAGAAAAAAAGGTTTCAACAGGTCAAAATTTCCAAACATATTTCTTGAAATGAAAGTGTTTAATGTTTTAGCATCATAATAAATGGAATAGGACATTTTTGTTTTTAAATAACAAGGGAAGTATCAGTTACTTAACTAAAGACACAATTGGTCACTCAAAACAGGATAATCTGCTACCATCCTATACATCATGAGCATGTTTAAATCAGAGAACACTTATGCCAAATAAAAAGAAGAAAAAAACAGATGCTAGGTCTGCAAACAGAGCAGCCTAGGTCTACAAACATAGTGGCCTAGGTCTACATTAGGCTCTACAAACATAGTGGCCTAAGTCTACAAACACAGTGATCAACTTACTCAACAGGAACCAAACGTAGTGATCAACTTACTCAACAGGAACCAAACATAGTGATCAATTTACTCAACAGGAATCAAACATAGTGATCAACTTACTCAACAGGAACCAAACATAGTGATCAACTTACTCAACAGGAACCAAACGTAGTGATCAACATACTCAACAGGAACCAGAAATAGTGATCAACTTACTCAACAGGAACCAAACGTAGTGATCAACTTACTCAACAGGAACCAGACAGTGATCAACTTACTCAACAGAAACCAAACACAGTGATCACCTTACTCAACAGGAACCAAACACAGTAATCAACTTACTCAACAGGAACCAAACGTAGTGATCAACTTACTCAACAGGAACCAAACAGTGATCAACTTACTCAACAGGAACCAAACGTAGTCATCAACTTACTCAACAGGAACCAAACGTAGTCATCAACTTACTCAACAGGAACCAAACACAGTGATCAACTTACTCAACAGGGACCAAACATAGTGATCAACTTACTCAACAGGAACCAAACGTAGTGATCAACTTACTCAACAGGAACCAAACAGAGTGATCAACTTACTTAACAGGGACCAAACATAGTGATCAACTTACTCAACAGGAACCAAACGTAGTGATCAACTTACTCAACAGAAACCAAACGTAGTGATCAACTTACTCAACAGGAACCAAACACAGTGATCAACTTACTCAACAGGAATCAAACATAGTGATCAACTTACTCAACAGGAACCAGAAATAGTTATCAACTTACTCAACAGGAACCAAACTTTGTGATCAACTTACTCAACAGGAATCAGACGTAGTGATCAACTTACTCAACAGAAACCAAACGTAGTGATTAACTTACTCAACAGGAACCAAACACAGTGATCAACTTACTCAACAGGAACCAAACACAGTGATCAACTTATTCAACAGGAATCAAACATAGTGATCAACTTACTCAACAGGAATCAAACATAGTGATCAACTTACTCAACAGGAACCAGAAATAGTTATCAACTTACTCAACAGGAACCAAACTTTGTGATCAACTTACTCAACAGGAATCAGACGTAGTGATCAACTTACTCAACAGGAACCAAACTTTGTGATCAACTTACTCAACAGGAACCAAACGTAGTGATCAACTTACTCAATAGAAACCACATGTAATGATCAACTTATTCAATAGGAACCAGAAATAGTTATCAACTTACTCAACAGGAACCAAACTTTGTGATCAACTTACTCAACAGGAATCAGACGTAGTGATCAACTTACTCAACAGGAACCAAACTTTGTGATCAACTTACTCAACAGGAACCAAACTTTGTGATCAACTTACTCAACAGGAATCAGACGTAGTGATCAACTTACTCAACAGGAACCAAACGTAGTGATCAACTTACTCAGCAGAAACCAAACGTAGTGATCAACTTACTCAACAGGAACCAAACGTAGTGATCAACTTCCTCAACAGAAACCAAACGTAGTGATCAACTTACTCAACAGGAACCAAACGTAGTCATCAACTTACTCAACAGGAACCAAACGTAGTGATCAACTTACTCAACAGGAACCAAACATAGTGATCAACTTACTCAACAGGAACCAAACACAGTGATCAACTTACTCAACAGGAATCAAACATAGTGATCAACTTACTCAACAGGGACCAAACATAGTGATCAACTTACTCAACAGGAACCAAACACAGTGATCAACTTACTCAACAGGAATCAAACATAGTGATCAACTTACTCAATAGAAACCAAACATAATGATCAACATATTCAATAGGAACCAGAAATAGTTATCAACTTACTCAACAGGAACCAAACTTTGTAATCAACTTACTCAACAGGAATCAGACGTAGTGATCAACTTACTCAACAGGAACCAAACTTTGTGATCAACTTACTCAACAGGAACCAAACGTAGTCATCAACTTACTCAACAGGAACCAAACTTTGTGATCAACTTACTCAACAGGAACCAAACGTAGTGATCAACTTACTCAACAGAAACCAAACGTAGTGATCAATTTACTCAACAGGAATGAGACATAGTGATCAACTTACTCAACAGGAACCAAACTTTGTGATCAACTTACTCAACAGGAACCAAATGTAATGATCAACTTACTCAATAGGAACAAAAAAATGATCAACTTACTCTATAGGGAACCACTCCGCACATAGTCTCTTGACCTCATCCAGATCATGAGGGCAGAGAAAGCGCAGCTGCACTTCTTGCTGCACACACAGAGACAGGACCTGGCTCATAGAGGCATAACCAATCTCAAGCACCAGTGCCAACAAGATACCTGTTACCAAGGTAACAGCAGCCCTTCATACAGGTTCATAGTGTCAACGTCATCTGTCACCATTAACGAGTCTGAAATAAAACAATGTGATAGGTTACAACATTAAATATATGGTGTAATTTAATAATGGCAGAACAGACATTTGATAGAACTATCCCTTTGTACCTGCTGTATAGTAGTAATTCAATACATATTTATTAACTACATCATATACATACAAAATATATATATAGTTTCAGAAGAATGCAATTATATTTTATTTAGTTTTCACCTTTGTACACAACAACTCGTTGACTTGTTGACATTATTTGCAGAAAGTGTACAGAAAAAATAATCAAATCGACGACAGCCTGTTACGATATTGCGTTTCTTTTGTTAGTTTATATGAATAAAATAATTCCTATTTCTGTATATTGGTGAGCGGGGCTAATGGTCTAATGGTCACAGGAGCTATTTGTTTCGAAACAGTCCAATGCAGTTTGGTTCCACACCAAAATACCACATGCAGGAATATACAGTATCATTATTTCACGAGTCATAGATTATGTTTATAATCATCATCATGCATTTACACTATAAGTTATCAAAGCATGGGGCCATTTAGATGACTGCCATTACTGGGATCAGGTTCCTGATACTATTTAGAGCTATTGAGTAATACACAAATTATCATTCACATTGGGTATTTGTAGTTTTCTTTGGATTTTCAGCATATTTTTACTCCCTTGAGTCCAGTCTAATGGGTATTTTCACATCAAATGAGTAGACAGTTCTGTTAATAATTCTGCTTAAGTTCTGTTTTAGGTGACTTCTAATTTGTATCTGTTGTGTGCTGCCTCAAGTGACAAACATGTCGCATAAACTCACAAGAGTGATATATACATGTCTTAACAATAAGCAAGACGTAGTGTTTTTTGTATGCATTATTCACTGCAGTGGAGTTCCTTTGTGTGTGATGCCCTCACTCCATCAGTAGATAAACATCTGTTAAGAAATACAGGGAAGCAAGTTGCAAAATATACATTGGGTAATTACGCAGTACTTTGTATGCATAGTTGTACGCAACGGGTTATAGCGAAAACGGTACCTCAGCAAAACATCACCGGGCGAAAACGGCACCTCAACTCAAGCGAAAACGGCTACTATTGCTTGGCGAAAACGGCACCTTATTTTTTTTTACCTTGGTCAAATAAAGGATATTAAACTTACATGGTAATTTGCAAACACCAATAATTGTGAGATGTTAAAACAAGTTTACATTAGAAATTGGCCTCTACTACAACTATAATCCAACTTAGCTTATACGCAACTCAACTTTATTGTGAAAACAACATGCTTTGAAGAAAAATAATTGAAATTAAACTCACATCGTCTCTTACAAACACAAAAAAATTGGAGTTTTTCTACTTTTATCAATTCGTGTTGATATATTTGATATCAAAATTTGACACTCGGGGGAGATTCTCTATATGTACTCATCTGTGGAAACAGTAAATACCATGTAAATACATCACATACATCCAATAGCATGTAAATACATCCAATACCATGTAAATAAACCATATATATTCCTACAAAAATCGTTCTTATCGTTATTAAAAATAGAGGTGCCGTTTTCGCCCGACACATCATAGCCGTTTTCACCAAATGCGGTCCCGTTTTCGCCAGAGAAATCGGTGACGTTTTGCTGAGGTGCGGTTTTAGCCTGCACCCGTACACAACCAACTACAATTAATTGGATATTAGTGATTTTTTTTGCATATTTTACACAAATATGCAGATCATCCTGGTATGTTCCTAATCTAGGTACAACAAACAAATGTTAACATATAAACATTAAAACAAACTAGAAGTAGAAATAGAATAAAATAGAAATTAAAATATTGTTGAGAAAATAAGCATAATGTTCTAGAGGTGTTTCCCAATTCCCCCTAGTCTCTTTCCAATCCACACGCTGTAACCATCTACCTCTATGTGATGTAAATATGGCAGGGACAGAGACTTATTTGTTTCAAGTATACCACTTGACACTCATAAAGATGCGTATGATGTCATTCCTGATTTTGACATTTTCGACCAAAACATTATTACTGTCAATCTTATGGTCAGACTTCCGCCCATATCCCCCCTCAAAATATACATGATTAAAAGCATGTATTTACACATAACCTTTGGAGGTGGTTATGGGTGGAAGTCTTTCCGATGTAATAACAATTGATTGAACTTGAAGACAAAACTAACTACATTTTTTAATTTGATGTAGACATAGACCAAGATGAGACGCGAATGAGTTATGCACGCCAATAATAAACCATTTTCGAAATAATCAACACAAACTTCACAAATTAGTACCAACAGAGACCACATACCAATGGGTTTGTGGTCCCCAGTACCAAATATAGGCCCTACGACTCATCAGTTGAGTGTGGGGCATGAATATGTGTGATTGGTTCCTCGGAGATGGTGTCATACAAATAGTATCCCCAATCTTTGCCATAGGTCTAAATCTGGTGCATGTTCATCTTCATTTAATGTTAATTAAGGTCAGTATAATAATTCAAGTAGGGCCTACAGCAATTGCTGTCCTCCAGATACGCAACAACATGAAATTGCCCAGTATCCCTCTCAAAGGATGAGGAGTATATTTCAGTAATGTCAAAGTCGGTGGCCGAAGTCCATACCACAGCTAAAACACTTAATAAATACATCATAAATACCTTCCTAAATAGTCACCTGTGTGTCTATTATATACACAACATGCAAATGCGCACGTCCAATATTTACTTCCGGTTTGGGATAGTACTCGCACTTGAAGCGACAACCCAGGGTCGTCGCTATATTTTATACACTTTTCGAGTCCAGTCCCACCCGGAAACGATAATAACGGGAAGTGGTAAAGGAATCAGACCAAACCGGCACCGCTTCAAAACGACACCGAAGTGCCTGGCGAAAACGGCATATTTCTTTGGCAAAAAAACCCGGGGTAAAACGGCACAATATGTTGCCTGAAACTAAATCAAAACTTGAGACGGCATTAGCCTATTTTGTCGCCATTCTCCAAACATTCTTACATCTCATTTTTTTAATATATTTAACCTTTTATATTAACCTTATTCATGTATACACTTTATCATTCTCATTTCAGTACACACATTCAGCCAAGTTAGTTAAGATGTACAAGACAAGCATTTGCATATTCTTGGACTGATGTGGAGAACCTTCTATTAATTAATTGACATTTTTCCTAGCTTACTTATAATTAACGACTGATATGATCTTAATCGTGATGTCTTTTAAGAAAAAAGAGTACATAAGAACATATGTTTCATATTCATAATTAAAAACACATTAGCATGAGGACACGCCAACCTCATGAAAAACTGGGACGTTCCGCCAACCCAACTCAAGTTTCCGTCAAGCGAGGTGTGGATTTTGTGGCGTTTTGATGCGATGCCGTTTTAGCTATGTACCGTTTTAGGTGATTACTAAATTACGAACAATTTCTAATACGAAAGTTGGCAAATGAACTTAACACAAATACAACGAGTTTGGAATGTAAATCATTTAGTTAATCATATTAATATCTAAACAATATTGAAATTATATGAATTAGGCTATGGGATGTATGATTAATTTACTTTAGATTCTCAGACCGTATGTTTTCCATGACTAATTTTATGTCAGTGTTTACAAAATGGCTGCATCTGACCAAGAACATGTGCCTGTTACTGTCCAAGGTTTCACTGGTAAAGCTTTTTATTGATTACTTTTATGTTGTGATTGACAGGCGGAGGAAAGAATGCATTATACCGGACACATTCCGCCATATTCTGACTAGCACCAAATTAGGCGATCATAATATCGGCACATCATCCATTCGTAGTCGATCTGTGAAGATCCAGGGTAGAACTAGAACAACACCTGCAACACCTGCTTGACGTAAAAGGCGACTATGCTTGTCGTAAGAGGCGACTAACGGGATCGGATGGTCAGGGTCGTTGACTTGGTTGATGCTTGCCATCGTATCCCAAATGTGTACATCGATGTTCATGGTGTCAATCACTGGTTTGTCTGGTCCAGACTCGATTGTTTACAGACCGTCGTCATATAGTTGGAATATTGCCGAGTGTGGCGTTTAACAACAAACCAACAAACAATCAGACTCTCAGATATCGAGGACACCACATTATCACGGTAATCGCATTATCCACACCTTCTGTCGGCTGTTTACTTTTGCAAATATAAGCACAATATTTCATCGTGTGATGTAATACTGGACTGCTGTAAAATGTCCTGTACTTGTAGGTAAACGTGTATCTTAAATTGTTCATAATAGTTTCTGGAATATTTATTTATATCTGACCCCGACACTACCCCTATATAGTGTCGTGTCTGTGGTATAATTGAAAAACTGTTCAAAGTGGCATTAAACTCACTCTCACTCATGCATTTAGATTACCCATTTGTTTTTCAGTTGTTCCCTTGAAGTTCAGTGAAGACAAACCTGCCCACTGCCTCTATCTGAAGGAACACAGTGTCAGAGAGAATGATTCATCACATCCACGGAATAGAACTCTTTTTGTGCTCAATGTGCCACCCTACTGCAATGAGGTAAATATGACCAGAACAACGTATGTTTACTACAATTGATTAAACCTACTGTACAACCTTGGAACCGGATGTCCAACCGGTTGAAAGGAATAAAAAATGTCAACAAAAAACAAAAATATGACCAGAACTATATTCAGTGAAATTATTAGCAGAATATCTCTCACTCATGAGAGTAATTTCATTGGATGGCAGTTTTTAGCATTGTGCCATTTTAATCAGGCTCAAAGATATGGTGGCGTATGGGTCAAGTGTATATATAGAACAGAGATGTAATACACTGGTAGAGAATATCATCACTTCATTGTGAAATGTTATATATTGAATTAATTTACTTAATCATGTTAATTGTGATGGCCGAGAATGTTGTCATTTTCACCAAATCTCCTGACTCCTTCCACTGTTTTCATCTTTTGCTGTATTCGTTGTAGGACTGTGTGAAGCAGCTGTTTACACCTTGTGGGAAGATAGTGCAAGTGTACCTACATGACAAGCCCACATCAGCAGCTCCCCCTAGTGGTGGTTCTCGGTACTTCCCTGTTGGCCTCACTACCCCAGTACGTGTCCATGTGAATGCTGCAGGCCTCCTACCAAGCACAGTGCAGCGTGTACAATGTAGCAATAATACTTAGGCAAAACAAAAAGATACTTGTGTTTCAAATAGGGTTCTTGGCTTAGAAAAGAAAATTGTTTTCAGTGGGTGGGTGCATTTGAAAATGTGTTTAATCAATAAAAAAGACTTGGCTCATATTATTTGTAGTGGAGGTAAAATAATTACATGTTCTAACATTTTTGTTTGAAGCATGTTTTTATATTGACCCACTAGACAAATGCCAGTAAACGGTTAACGCAGTAATCTGGACCAGTAATGTTAACATTACGATGATTTGACTGATGGTGAAAAATACATGTAGTACAGTGACAAAAATACTCGTAACATTACTTCAACTATTAATTTGAAAAATACTTTCAAATGCATAAGCTCTAATCATGCTCATTGTCATTAGGGCTAGGATGTAAAACACCAACTGTGCGATCCGATCCATATCACGATACTTGCATGTGCTCTTATTTGTGGTTCGTAAGCCTTTTTAATAGACAGGATGGCCAAATACCTGGCACACTAACGATTTACAGTTGGCAGTGTCAAGTATGACGCAATGGATGAAAATACTTACATTTAGACTACTAACTTTCACTACTAATTCATGTTTGTGTTACAGTTATTTAAGAACACATTGAAGATAAGAATCAAATTGTTTACTTAGTGTACAACTGTGACAGATACATAGGTGTATTGTCACACAACTAATTGTCATTCACCAAAGTTTGATTGACCTTGCAAGTACAGTTAGTTCACCTTTCTTTCTCCAGGGATTCAAAGTAGCCTACATTGTGTTCAAGAATGCCTTAGCAGTCAAGCATGCCTGCAAACTGTCCTATGAGACACCTTTAGTTCTCAACTCACCAGAAAAAACAATCAGCAGTACTGGACTTCACAGTGAGTATTCTATGATATTAACAGTGAAGGGCTTCATGTCTTACCATCCCCATCTTCCCGAGGCAAAAGAGTTAAGTGATTTTAAAAGTCCAGTTTCCACCCTTGCCGAACTAGGCTATAATTCCTGGGCTCAATTGTAGGGCCACCAGTGGCTTTTACGAGTAAGTCATTTCTAAGCCTCTCCTCAGTCTCCTGTGGACCAATCAGATTCTACTTCTCGTATCACCTGCATTTGCTTCAAACAAAATGGCGGCACCCTGTGAGAACGATCTGATCGATAATCCAGATCTATATTGTGATAAAACGTGTCTTACATCGCAAAATGCATCAAATCATGTGAGCACCTTGATTTAAAACATGAAAAGATTTGGAAAAAATCTGTTGACAACGAGTTGGCGGTGCACATGCTTTGCAAATCCTGCAGTCGACTGAAATCTGCCCGACAGATTACGAACAGGATTTTGATTTCGATTGCACGATTTTGATTGGACTATGCATAGACTCGTTAGTCCAGTCAAAATGTAACTCCATAATACCAGCCTAGTTCGGCAAGGGTGGATACTGGACTTTTATAGTCAGTTAACTCACTTGCCTCGGGAAGATGTACCATCCCGTGGGGATTCAGGTTAGAATGTGTCGTCAAAAACCTGTGCTGGATGCAAGCGTGACTTAGTGGATCTGGCGGTCAGACTCGGTGACTCGGTTCATTGCATGTCATCGTACCCCAACAGCATGGGATGTTTGTTCTAGTCCAGGCTTGATAATTTATAGGCCAAAGTCATATAGCTGGATTTTTTCCAAGTGTGACGTTTCACAAAAACAAATCCTTCAGTTCCATCAACATTTGAACTGAGGTTCTTTACCCTCTCTATCATCTGACGTTTATTCCTTGTGTTTGTTCTTAGTAAGCGCCCCCTGTGTCAGTTTTCTTAATGCCCAGGATTTGTATTATTGAGAATGGTTCCTCAGTACATACATGGAGCCTCAGTGGGATCAGAAGTCATCACCTGGCCTTAAGAACACATCCACTTACCCCCCAAATATTGACTGGAATTACGGAAAGTTCAAAATGACGAGTGCAAACTAATATTTGGATATTTGATATGTTTCTTCATCTTCAGGTATGTTCCAAATGGTTAAGTTGCTATCATATGTTTATTGTGACGTATATTATGTACATATTAAACTTTATAAGGTTTCACTATATGAGATTCTCTGTCAACAGAATGGTGCAGACAGTACGCAGCAAGGAGGGTGGACGTCAAGGAACTACAGGCAGAAATAGAAGACTACATGGCCAAGTTTGATACCAAACAAGAGGAGGTATGTTAATCTCTCTTCCAGTACTTTATGCTGATCGTAGGGGTAGGGGTGATCAAATCATTCAGTTTACCATGCCAAAGGCCTGTGAAGCCCATTTCTTGTGATATTGTTGGAACATTGCTTAGGCCATCCATATTATTTATCATCTCCAAATTCAACCAGCAAGAGAGCAGGCGGTCGAAAAGTTTTTAAAAATTCAAAAATTTAAATAGTGTTTTTCACTAAATGTGTAACTTATTTCGTGACATTTTAAAGTTTAGAACACATTGTAACAGTCCTAAAAATAATTTATGATATTGGTTGAGTTGCTTTGCTTTGGAAGCAAATTTTTAATAAGTATAGCCGAAGAAAGATCAAGCTGACCTGGGGTTTTTTAATGTGCAATTGTAGGAGTAAGCAGAGAGGAAATATGAGATGAGAAAACCTTTTCATTATTTCCCTCAGAACGAAAATTTAGGGTGGGCGGTAGATGGGAGGCAAAGAACAGCCTAAAACATGTTAAGGTGGTGTAAAATTCTAGTCAGTCCTCCATGATGGTCCTTCTTGTTTGTCCTTTCCAGGCATGGAGAGTACAATTATAGAATCGCTGTGCAACAAACTGCAAAACACCGAATTTGAGTGGAGTCATGAAAATTTGTGATCCAATGGGCATTCATCATTTGGGTCGTGTGTATTACAATTATATCCTGATAATGTACCCAAACACTTTTATGTCCGCTTCCCCTTCCTCTTAGTTCTTGCTGTTGTACCTACCTGTATATATGATATCCCTCACCGCAAATAGCGACAATATTCACTCACTCCTTAATATCTTGAAAGAGTACTGTCATGAGCCCTCCATTGCATAACATGGGAAATTGTCGAGTCAACTTATGGATTAGACATATCCAGCCCCTGAAGTTATTGATCAGCTGATGGATGATGTCCTCCTTTCAGGAAACACAACGTCTGAAAGACCAGGAGGGGGTTGCTGATGAGGAGGGCTGGGTCACTGTGACCCGAGTTGGCAAGAACAAAGGTACCCCACGTACAGAGGCCCGCAAGAAGCATCTCACAAAGAGGGAGACGAAGAGAAGGAAAGAGAAGGTGTGTACAATGACAAGGGCCTTACACTAACCCAACCTTTCACACAATAACAAGGACCAGGTTGTTGTCCCTTCCTCTTTGTTCTTGCTGTTGTACCTACCTGTATGTATCCCTCACCGCAAATAGCGACAATATTCACTCCCCCTTTCACACAATAACAAGGGCCAGGTTGTGGAGGTATGCTGACAGATTTCTGTCAATGGCATTAAACACCATTCACAGGAATGGAAATTAACTAAGAACATCTACTAGCCCGAACAGTGATAACATAGAGCAATACCCCTCTCCCCCACCAAATGTTTGAAATTCTACTCACCTTTAGAATACGTATAACATAAAGAAAATGGTCCAGGCTAGAGCTAATTTCCATCCCTGATTTACTGAATGGCATCTTTCTGAGGCAAGGGAGTTAACTGACCGTAAAAGTCCAGTTATCACCCTTCGCTACAATTATGTTATGTTTTGGTGGACTTATGAGTCTATGCATAGTCCAATAAAAATCGTGTAACAAACAAGACATCTGGTTCGTAATCAACATGGATTTCATCGTGCATATTTCGGTCGACTGCAGGATTTGCAAAGCATGTGTACCGCCAACTGGGCGTCGACAGATTTTCAACAAATTCTTTCATGCTTTTAATCAAGGTGCTCACGTGATTTGATGCACTTCGCGGGGTAAGACCCGTTTTATTACAGTGTAGATCCTGATTATCGAGCAGATCGTCTTGACTGGGCGCCGCCATTTTGTTTGAAGCAAATGCAAGTGATATGAGAGATGGAATCTGATTAGTCAATAGGAGGAACATAGAAGGGACAAAACTCATAATAGCCACTGGTGGCGCTACGGATTGAGCTGTGAAATTCCAGCCTCACTTTTACCCATGTTTGCCATAAAAGGCGACTATGTTTGTCGTAAGAGGCGACTAACGGGATCGGGTGGTCAGGCTTGCTGACTTGGTTGATGCACTGTCATCGATCCCAATTACGTGGATTGATGCTCATGATATCAATCACTGGATTGTCTGGTCCAGACTCGATTATTTACAGACCGCCGTCATATAGCTAAAATATTGCTGAGTGTGGCGTTAAACAACAAACCAACCAAGCAATCCAGCCTCGTTCACCAAGGGTGGAAAGTGGACTTTTATATGCCTGGGGAAGCTGCAGCATGGCTATGAATGGTCATTTCTTCAAATGTTTTATACCCATAAGAATTCATTTCATCTGTAGGTGGCATAATCCTTGAAGACACTGCAGTTCTCAATACAGAGTTGTGTCCCTTTTGTGGCCAGAACTCCAAGCACTGTACCCATCCATGCACATGGGTTTCATTAAAGTGGCCAACATTTAAGGCCTGCATAGATTTGAGCGTCCTCCCACCTCAAGCTGACACATTGTGATATGACTGAAATACTGTTCAATGCAGCATTAATCCAAACTCACTCTCTCACTCATTTATTTTATTTTCACAGGAGCTGCTGAATTTCTATGCCTTTCAGTTCAAAGAGACAAAGAAAGACCGTAAGCATACTTCAAATCTAAAACCCTGTTATCGTGTACTATGGGTGAAAAAAGAAGTTTCCCATATCATTGACATGATTTAAATAATATAAACTCTCTCTGTGTCTCAACATCTAGAATTTAACATCTTGCTTGTATCTTTACAGAGATTGCTACTTTGAGGAAGAAATTTGAAGAGGACAAACAGAAAATATCTGTGATGAAAGCTGCAAGAAAATTCAAACCCTACTAGTGTATAGTGTTTGTAAATAATGTTCATAAAATGAAAAGCATCTTATTACTAGAGGTTTGTTTGTTTGTTGATCTGTGAATAATCAAGTCAGGACCAGACAATCCAGTGATTGTTTTTATGAGGATCGATCAACTCTAGGCGATTTGCTGTGGGGAGTTGTCGAGGTTAGACATGCCGTGATCCATTATTTGAATCCCAGATTCGCCTTCATAATGATGACAGACTTGTCTGTACAATACATGGGTTCCTTTCCTTCAACAAGCTTACAGGTCATGACATAACTGAAATCCTGTTCAAAACCCATCTTCCCGAGGCAAGGGAGTAAACTGACTGCAAAAGTCCAGTTTCCACCCTTGCTGAACCAGAAGCGAATTTCATAGTTCGATGGTAGGGCCACCAGTGGCTATTACGAGTTATGCCCCTTCCTGGACTTATATAGTCAGTAAACCCCTTACCTCTCTCACTCACTGCTATACCACATCTTTGATGTCATAGCACATGAACTAGAAATACTTGCGGGTTATCCCAGGAGCACAAAGATGTGACCTTGACCCTGCTGTGTGACACTGCTCTGTGAAGGTTCATCAGATATTTGTCATATGCAGTGGAATAATGATGGGAAATATGACTTTATACACCTTTATCAATGGTTACCTTCTAACAGCTTACCGGAAAAACAGATCTTGAATTATTTCCGCTTTCATTTCCTGTAAAATGTTAGACTCCTATAATCAGGTAGTAGATCACAAACACTCCAATTTGACAATGAGTTTATATGAAAATAATGAACGCAATTACATCTCTGGCGACACAATTTGATTGCTATTTCATAGCAATGTATCAAAGGTGTTAATTAACAGTACTCAGAAATAAATATTCCTGACCAAAGCTTTTCCTCAAAACATCAGGGAAAAGATCCATCTTTTCTGTGTAAATCCTGAAATACTTATGACAGTCGAAGCCTGCTCTTCCACCTATTGCTGTTGAATGCACAAGTTTATACACTCTCAAGAAAATGATATGCCTTTAAATGATACATCTCCAGATTTTGAAAGTACTGTGTACATCATAAAATCCATGATCAAGTTGCAGTGAGACTAATGAGTTGGTCACATGATCATAAGACACATGATCACACGATATCCAGAGTCCCTTCAACGCAAAGATCTTGTAGAACATGACAAGACTGTAACCTAATCCACTTGAGTCTCTTCTCCTGCAAGATGATATCGAACGTGGTCACAAGGTCATCACAAGACCATCACATGATCACCTGATATCCATCGGAGTCTCTTCTTCAAGATGATACCAAACATGGTCACAAGGTCATCACATGATCACGAGACCGTCACATGATCACCAGATCGTCACATGATCACCTGATATCCATTGGAGTCTCTTCTCCTCCAAGATTATGTAGAACCATGTGAAGCAATCTGCAAACAGACATTAACAGGAGTTATCAGTTCACTATTACACCAGATCTTGATTCTCATCAACAGGAAGTCAATTGGTTCTACTATTACAGCAGATTGTTGATTTTCAGGTATCATTTGACAGTAAAACCTGCTTAAGACCAACAAACTTTCACTGAGACGTGTTTGACTAACCAGTGTATTATATCTCCATACTGTTTATATGATAATGGCCTTGAAACTATTTGCTACAAAAGCTTAATTTGTTTTGGAAGTGATTTCATCATCTCAATCACCCTCAAATATTCTCTAGCAAATAGGTGGGGGGCACGGGTGGCCCAGTTCTCTAAGGCGCTGCAATTCGCTGTGCAGAAACCTATGATTGTGGGTTCAAATCACGGTTCACCCTGATTAAGTTTCTAGGTTTGTCAGCACCATACCCATGCTTGTGGGTTTCACCGAAGTGGTTAACGTCTGAGACCTGCATCACTTCAGGCTTTCCTCCCACATTAAGCTGACATGCCATGGTATAACTGGAATACTGTTAAAAGCGGCGTTAACTCAACTCACTCACTTACTCACTAGCATATTGGTGTAATTTGGCTGGATAACAATTATTAGCATCATGTCATTGCAAGCAGACGTGAGTTGAGGTGAGGTGAAATGGTGTTTAATGTGGTGTTCAAGATTATTGCACTAATGTCACATGTGTGACTCTGTGTCTGTCTGCTTGTACAAGTGCAGACCTATGCCGTTTTAATAGTGCTTGCCATGCCACAGTTTAACATGGATACCCTTCTCAGACAGTATACCAACTCCCAGCCAACCAGTCCTTGTTTAAGCATGTTAAGCCCCTTAATGCTGAGCGTCAGACAGGGTACAACAAGTCTATTGGTAACCGATGACCTTCTGCTCTCTGGGAGCATGCTGTATCCATTAGACCACAAAGGCGGTCTGACACACATTAAAGCTATGGTAGCAAATGTTTTCAGGGTTTATGTAACATAAGAAAGGAATACAACACTATATGACAGTGAATTGCGTAAGTAAGCATGCCTTAGAATTTGACATAGGCAGTTAATGGCATCATTTATCAGTTTCCTATGAGTTCAGATTGCCTGTGTGTTCAATGATGGTGGCACTTGACACAACTTTCAACTCACCGGTTTGGGGGAAGATATGTGGACACTATAGATCTCAGTTCCTGGAAGTTGCCTGTAAAAAAAGGAAATCAGTTTATATGATAATATCAATGACAGCTTACATCATTTCATAAATAGGTTGATCAAATGTAATGAGAACAATCTTGTTTAATATGTTTAAATAATTGCATGTTTTTATTTCTTATAAATCCAGCATATACCAACCAGGCAGTGTACATAGGCAGTTGATGTAAAACTGTGGCACTATGTTGTTGTAAGTAAACTGATCTTATAGTGGTTTTACCTCATTATCACATCAGCATGTAAAGTAACTGCACCTTGACAGCCTAGTGGTCAATAGAGTGAGCAGACACTTCATTAGACAAAGCCTCTTTCCAGCAAGGTGAGGTTGGGTGAGATGAAATGGGGTTTAACATCACCTTCAAGATTATTGCACTTATATAGCAACAAGCATGCACAAGTGTGTGGATGCTTGTACTAGTCTAGACTAGTGCCGGTTTTAAAGTGCTAGCCCACTGAGTTATACTGCATATAAACATGAATACCCAACTGAGGCACAGTATACCAACTCTGAGACGGCAGGCAGGGTAACAAGAAGTACCACCTTTTTTACGTCACCTGGTATGACGAAACCAGGGATCGAACTCCCAACCTTCCGCTCTCTGGACAGATGCTATATCCACTAGACCACGGAGGCTGTAGCATTGGCCTCTGAAAAACCTAGATAAATCCCTGCTATTTTACCTGGAAACCTCAAACTGTCCATCGTTGGATAAAATTGTCAATCGCAAACTTTCCCTAAAATATAGGAAGCTGACTTACCTCTATCCATTCTGAGACAGCCACTAACAATAGCAACCTGCATCACTTGTGCCAATCTCTCAATGGCAGTGTGAAGGTCAGGGTCATCAGCTGCAAGCCCCGCCTTCTTCTGCAGGTAAACCACCGAGTTGAGAATATTCATCACATCTCCTACTGTCAACAGATACTGAGACATATGTGTGTTTTCACAGAACTGCAGACTCTGAAGCAGCCCCAGATGCAGTTTGGAAAGTATACTCAATGTCTTGGTAATATTCTCCTGCGAGATGTTGCGTGGTTTACAGTCGCGCAGCATGTTGAAGATGATTGGCCCCCGCACACACCAGCCTGTGAGTCCTGGGATCGGAGAACAGTAGGTGTTGTGGATGCTGACTTGTCGCACTGACTCGCAACACAGCGTGCAGTCCTCCGTGATCCACTCCGTGACATGTTCCAGTAACATCTGGGGCAGGATCTTGGTCTTGTCTGAAAACAGAGGAGTCCTGGTCAGTTCATTGTGCTTAGAAAATAACAGCCACAACACAGGAGCTATGAATATGTTTTGGTTTGTTGTTTAACGGTTTGTAAATAATCGAATCTGGACCAGACAATCCAGTGATTGACATCATGAGCATCGACCCACGCAATTGTGATACGATGACTTTCATCAACCAAGTCAGCAGGCCTGACCACCCGATCCCGTTTAGACGGATTATTGTATCAGTAGAAACAATCAATTAGATATAGGGGTGACATGAAAAATATCAACATAATTTTAATACTATTTCCTGCTTGAAGAAAGACAAGTTCTATGGATGAACAACTTCTTTATTACAATTAGTGCAACGTTTCGGTGTAGATCCTAACACCTTTATCAAGCAAGTGCTTGTTGGAATCTACACCGAAACGTCGCACTAATTGTAATAAAGAAGTTGTTCATCCATAGAACTTGTCTTTCTTCATCACACCAACTTCTATATGCCACTGAAAGAAGTTATTTCCTGCTTGTAAGAACAATAGGGTCAAGCCGCTGTCATCAGATCCTCAAGAGTAGACAGTACAGTACTTACCTACAAGGGTGTGTATGGAAGTCACTGATGCTATGAAGTTACAGACAAACAGCGGGGAGACTGATGGGAGTTTGAGGAAGACTTGAGAGGGACTAGGGAAGAGAAGACAGTAATCCTCCACAACCCTCTGACTTAGGTCCAGCACACAGGGGCTGTCTGCACCTCTCTCCTGCAATCACAGACAGGGTCATCAAAACTTGAACAGATTTGTCTTGATGAACTAACAATGAACAAATACAATACCTATAATACAGAGAATTTAAAGTAACTATTGACTCGCTGACAGATCTATTCTTGTTTTAAAGATGAGCCTGACCTAAAACATAACCAAAAAAAATTAAATTTAACAAATGCTACTGAATCAACATGTTTAAGTATTTACATGATTATTAATAAAGTGCAACATCACATAACAAGAGACAAAAAAAATAACTTAAAATCATATTAATTCCAATAGTTAACCTTAAACTTTATTGTATCGTCAACAATGCTCCAGAGATGCACACAGCATTGAAGGCTGTGCACTAACAAGTGCTTGTTCTCTCGCATTCGAGATCTGACAAACTCTTCATAGGAAGTCATGTCAGCTGAATCCTGTGTCAACCATCCCAAATGAAGTCCATGGGTTTATGAGTCAATCAAATGTCAGCTTTCTAGACAAATTTGGCTTCATTTCTTTAACCTGAGACTGTCCAAGGTGAGGTCCTTGAATCACCAGAACTGTCTATTAGTCACCAATCTATTTACAAGTAGAAGGAAGACCTTACCTGCATCCAGATAGCAGCACAATCCAACACAGGGCTGCAGCTTACAGATAGAGCCATAGAAACCAGCTTTGTCAGCAAAGTGTTGCTGGAGTTGTCACCCCTACCCCCAAAGATCAAATTGAAAATATGATATTTGCTCTTCGTTGGGGTTTCTTTGAAGCATGTACACAGCATCTCTAACAACTGGAGTTCCTGAATGGCACTCAATTTCTGAAATTTAAATATTCATTCATTAGAAATTCTACCATGAATTTTGAAAATACTCCATTAGCACAATAACCACTTGTCATTTACAGAAACTGATTTGATGGCCACATCGTCATGTAAGCTAATATTCATAGAAAGCTACCTTTTCTCAATGATTGTCCATATGTACAATTACAGGTTACAAGAAGAGTTGTAGTCTCTACAATTCAGAATATGTAGGGCAGCACATTTTCAGCGTGCCATTATATCATGAGCATAAAAATTGAGCGGTGTGACGGCATAATGATTTTGTGCGGTGTAGAACTAAATGATGTAGGGCCTGTTTGTTTTCTTTAGGGGTGTCCACTTCATGTTGGCCTATGAAGTAGCTGTGCTACACACGTTCAATGTCTTTCACTGGAGTATAACAATGGAAGGTACCAGGATAGAAAAATATATTTGAGCATATGATATCCCATATTTTGTTGTTTGTATTTTAATGCAGTAGACAGCAATATGACCACAGCCTGAAAATAATCTGGACCTGACAATCCAGTGATTGATATACGGAACAACTAACTGCGATTTAATAGCGCTAAACCTTATGTTTGATCCCCATGGCATGTTTATCTCCAAATTATTATCAGTATTTAAAACCTAACTGAAAACATCAAGCAATCATAAACATTTCAACATGTTCAATAATAATGAAATATTTACATGAATGGAGTAAGTGTTAACACATTTACTGTAAAGAATGACAATGCTGAACTTATCAACACATTAAGACATGGAAGGTTTTCATTCAGACCCCAAGGCTGTACTGAGCAGTCTCTTAATCTTTTATATGGTTTTTATCTTAATAATATCCATGAAAATCACCCTCAGGCCTTTGTTTCAAGTCAAAACCTATTTCATTTGCCTGCAGTCGAAAAATTGAAGAAATAGGAAGCCAATACTGTTAATTACACAGAGGCAATTTCATTTCACATATGGCTCATTACAATACCTAGTGGGTGAGTGAGTTGGGTTTAATGCCGCTTTGCACAGTATTCCAGTTATATCATGGGGTGTCAGCTTAATGTGGGAGGCAAGCCCCAAGTGATGCAGGTTTTGGACGTTTTGGTAAAACGCATGGGTGCAGTATGGTACTGAAAAACACAATCGGGGCAAATTGGAATTCGAACCCATGATCACAAAGGTTTCTGACATGCCCAAGAGACAACTCTGCACAGCCAACTGCTGCACATTAGACAACTGGGTCACCCATGTCCCCTACAAAACCTAATCTACTAACTGAGCACAAGCATCTCTCTGAAACAGTACCAACACTTTGACCATGTGTCTGGTTATCACAAATCCTACACATGATTAACAGATTTTTAATCAATTAAAACAAAATATGAACCTTTTTCTTCTTCCTCGTCCTGAAGAGTATGTATTCATTGCAAACATCAGCGGCGAAGTTCTCGGCCCCACCCCCGAGGCCGGGTATAGCAGCCCCCTCCTGGGAGGAGAAGCATGTGGCCAGGTAGGACAGTGCTTCACGAGTACAGTCGGGGAACTCCAGGTACTTCAGCTTCTTCATTATTGTCGACATGTTGGAAGAACATTAAGCTGAAAAACAAGCACTCATGTGAAGTAACAGGCATTTAGAATTTGGGGTGAGTGGGTGAGTTGGGTTTAACCCCGATCATCTTCCTGAGGCAAGTTAAGTAAGTTACAAGAAGTCCAGTTTCCACTCCAGCCGAACTAGACTGGAATTTCATAGAGCCACCAGTGGCCGTTTTCTGCTTTAGTATTTGAATCAAGGGATCCTGTAAACCCTAAACATTAAAATAATGACAAGGGCCCTTTCATTTCATTTCAAACACTGATTACCATGTTGCGATCCCGCCAAGTCTGACCACCCGATCCATTTAGGTGCCTCATACAACCAGTATCGGTTGCTTTTCTAATCCAGAATCCCTTGTATTTACCTTTTCTTAACAATAGCATCAGTAATTGCAATGAGTATTGATAAATAAGGTAAAATGAGGTACTCTGTTAATTCTGCATGTGTTTTTCAAGCTGCTTTTAGCAATATTCCAGTATTATCACGGTGTGGGGACACCAGAAATAGGCTTCACACATAGTAACCATTTGGGGAATCGAAACCCGGACCTTTGAGATGATGAGCGAAATGCCTTAACCAGTAGGCTGCCCCACTCCCCTATCTGTAAAATCCACCAGTATAGACACTTACCACAGTACAGATGTACCCATGTGAGTGAGTTGATGTTATTTTATGCTGCAGTCAGTAATTATTCTGACATAAAGTCCACCCAAGCAACTTCTAGACCAATCTGTAGAAGCTCCAAATACTAAGACCAAAAATTTACATGACAGCTCCTACGTGCATTTTACAGATTTTTTTCTACAGAAAACAGCAGTGTAGAAGGGGGCATATAATTGCCTAATAACTATAGTTGAAAACATTTCAGTTTCAGCGACATTTGAACTAACTTTTTAAAATATTATCCAATCTCTGAAAACAATTCTAACTCGTGTAGGGTTTAATAAGTACCCTCCTTGACTTGTTAATTTCTTAAGCACCCAGTGTGCTTATTATGGCGAATACAGAATATCATGGTAGACTGTAAATAACTAAGTTGGGTATTCAGAGACACGTAATCAGGCAGTTCTCACATTGTGACCACCTGATTATATGATTCCATGTTTTGTAAACTGAGTTTACGACAAGCATTGGGTATTAAAAGAAAGACTAAGTTTGTACCAAGTTTTCATCCAAGCCAAGTCATTCAAACACTTTATATGCCTGTTTGGGATACGATGACATGCATCAAAAAGCCTGACGAGCCTGACCACCTGATCCCGTTAGTCACCTCCTACGACAAGCATAGTCGCCTTTTACGGCAAGCATGGTTTGCTGAACACCTATTCTACCCTGGATGCAACATTAAAAATCATCCTTGATCATTGTTGGAATTTGTTCTTTGTCACTATAAAACTCACACTAATGTGACGTATTAACTCTTCCAAAATAACTCACAGCAGTCTGAAATAAGCAGACTATTCCGAATCAGTGCACTAGAAGTGTTTGTACCTTTTGTTAAATCAAAGACGTATATAGAACGTGGTTAAATTGAATAACATTCACCGGCTTTTCAATCCTGAAACTGATCAAATCCAAGCATATGTCCTTGACATACGTGTGCAAATAAATCTCATCCCTTTTGCCTCTGGAAAATATCGTCTTCAATGGAATAACTTTAACTGTTTGTTATTGAAACAGTGAAGTGCATTTTAGTTTTAGGAGGACAAAATCATTCTGTTGCTTCCATGTGTTCCTTGTGAAATACGTCACAGTTTTCGATCTTCTTAAGTCTCTGCGCACTGACGATATGGGAATCGCTTAGCATGAACAAAGCAGCATGCGATGTTAGGAGCAATTACCGTTGTCGTCTCACTAAAATTCTTTGAGAGAGTTGATATATCTGTCCATGTATATGGTCTCTGATTTGTCTTACAATTTGTATATTTGACACATGTGCGTGGAACTCAACAATAAGCAGCTACACGATACATGATGTCAACTAGTTCCGGTGTATTCGAGCTACGGACATAGGCTGTGACCACACATCGTGTGAGGTGCATCCTTCCACAGGGGCTTGTATGGTAATGCAAAAAATCACATCCAGTGTCAGTATACATGTACTATACAAGAAAACATTGATGCAGAGCATCAAAGTTCCCCGCCATATGTGATGCCTCACAAACGCATAATTATGATGTTACTGATAGGGGTGAAGGAGCATAATTATATTAACCACAAATAACACAAAGCTGTTGTGGAATTTTTTTAAAATTTATTTTGAGTAATGGGCAATACAGTTGATACATTTGCATAGGGTAGGTCTATTTAAAAATAGTTTCTTGTTTAACGCCGCACTCAGCAGTATTCCAGCCATATGACGGCGGTCTGTAAATAATCCAGTCTGGACCAGATCATCCAGTGATTGACACCAAGAGCATCGAACTACGCAATTGGAATATGATGTTATGCATCGACCAAATCGGCGAGCCTGACTACCCAATCCTGTTCGTCGCCTCTTACGGCAAGCATGGGTTGCTGAAGACCTATTCTAACATGGGTCTTTATTTAAAAAGTAGATAGAAGGAAATGGGAGCAATTTCTGGCACAAATGTAAACATGTGGAAATAGTATCAAAACTGCCAACAACATTGGCAGATGCACATACTCAAATAATAGATTCCATTCTTTTTACACTTGGCATTTGGTTATAATAATGTAAATGAAAATACTAAGGGCTCCATATGGCAAAAAAGTCATATTAGATAAGGTCTTTTTGTCACAACCACAGATGCACATACTCAAAATATTATCACGTAGTTGAAGAACACTTCAATACGGGGACTAATCAATAACGGAGATTCTTCGTCTCTTGTTTTACGTCTTTTGGTCAGTTTATTTTTTGTATTTCTTTCTTTCAAAGAATGGTAATTGTGATCATGATGAGTTAAGTTACTTGGTATTTTTCTATGTACTGTTTTTATCCAGTGTCAGTAACTGTTGTGGAATGTGGTTTACTTGTAACAATGACTGGTTTGAGTTCATATGATGATGATTGATTGGTTTGTCGTTTAACGCCGCACTCAGCAATATTCCAGCTATATGACGGCATTCTGTAAATAATCGAGTCTGGACCAGACAATCCAGTGCTTAATATCATGAGCATCGATCCACGCAATTGGGATCGATGCCATGCATCAACCAAAGCCTGATCACCCGATCCCGTTTGTCGCCTCTTACGACAAGCATAGTCGCCTGATATACTGTTAAGATGTAACATAACAATTCATCTATACTACTAAACAGAAGTGAAACCGCTTGTCCATTCGGATCAATCTGACCCAAACCATTCCGCTGATGAGAGTCAAATAATGCATACGAATCAAAATCCGTAAAAATTGCAATGGGGACATCATTAAAAGTTTCCAAAAGTGACGGGGATATCAATATTGCTTGTTAAAATGATTCTATGAAATTTGTTTTCCCTGCTTCAATATTTGGAGCACCTGTGACGGAGCCATAAAACTGATCTGTTATGTAGACAATATCGCTTGAGGCAGTGGCTGCTGGGAGCTGATTATGACCTAAATATCCCTCATAGCCTTCGGTGTTAACTACAGTCTGTATGTGACTGTAGAGAGCTGTGCCTTCATCCAACAGATTATCGAGTTCAGTGGAACACGGTACAGACGCAAATAGATTTGAGCCATGGGACACAAAATATATGAGTGACCAGAGCTACGGCTGTACATTGAATTCCATTAAACGGTTGAAAAATAGTACAGCCTTGATGCAAATTCGCCGACACACTACTCCGATTTTGCTTTGACTTTGCTACCAAACGTTTCACATGTGGCTAGGTGCGGTGCGCTGATTAAAAAACACACGGGGGACTGGGTTAATTCAAAATCCGGAATATAGCTGTTCCAAATATTTCCAGTGAACATGAGCATCCAAACAATCAAAAGTGTGGTATATAGAATGTGGAATTCAGCCATATTACATGTAAATTGGGATGTCGTCGTTGTTCACGAATAAGCATATTCAGAACATATTTTATATTATGCTGTTATTTACGATCTCCGGAGTACAGTTCTTCTTTTGTATTCACCGTGAAAATCAGAAAATTAGTCCTTGAGGAAAAAAGGACATCGGATTACACATGAATGGTTTAATAATGTCAGCTAATGACCAGAAACGGTCAGATGCATCAATTAACTAAATAAAGACGATTTTGAAGTATCCCTTATTGCTGGCAAAGAATAGCATCAACATTCCACGCACATGATTTGTATGTTTTGTTTCCGTAAATGCGTGGCTTGAAATTTTAAATAAACCAACATGTCTGCATACGTGCCACAAATTTAACGTTTCCCGTATACTTCCCCGCCCTCAGGGCGGGGAAGAATAAAACGATAGAATGCTGACACTGGCTATTCTTTGCGTCACAAGCCACTGTGCCCCCTTCACCTGAATACCGAATACTATCTATTTTGTCACCCAAAGTCTTATTGCTCAAAATCTCCACTACTACCTTACACAAATCACAATTAAATTACTGAAAGAAATATCGAAAAAAATAAATATATAAAAGACATCTTTACGTACAGCATTATGTTTTTAAAAATGAATCTGTGTACCATACCTTTTCTTTGCGTCCGCAAGTTCTAAAAACCCCTGTTATATTTGTTTGTTTGTTGTTTAACGCCTCACTCAGCAATATCCTACCTATATGAACGACTGTCTGAAAATAATCGAGTCTGGGACAGACAATCCAATGATTGATATGAGCATCAATCCACGCAATTGGGATACGATGGCATGCATCAACCAAGTCGCCCCTTTGACAAGCATACTCGCCTTTTACGGCAATTAAATACTTGTTGGAAAGAGGTAGTATGACCTACATGAGGTCCTCTCAGAATTAAACCAGTTGTTTCACAAGAAGTCGATGAGTTATCTCCCTTGTAGTTCATTTGCGGACATTCACTATAACCACCAAATACCAATATCTGAATATAAATCTGCAACTTTGTATCCACTGCTTATTCCGTTACATGATTGTGTGATTCATGAAAATTATTACGCGATGAACAGTGGAAAAAATGTCGCAGTGAATGCTGTAGCTTGTCGTTTGCAGGGTCATTATATACATGTACCTCGAAAGTCTCTACAGGTTTGTCATCCCCTGAGAAGTCTGGTAACAGTTTATTGATACAGCTTGTACCATGGTATTCCCCGCACACGGCACTGCAAGTTAGGCTTGAATTATTGTAGATTTGTCAATTGTCGAAAACGTTCTGTAGTTGTGAATATCTTTTTAGAAACATAATACGGCTATTTCGCAATACAACAAATGCTTTTTTTCATCAAAACATTGAACCACATCTGAAATATGGAAGATAATTGGTGGCCATATTGGATTATATTTCCCAAACTGGGATTGCTTGGGACGTTTAGTATGTTGTTTTCAGGGCCTTGTAGAAATGCATTGTGTTGAAAAAAATTCTGTTGCAATTTGTTCCAAGTTGAGTGCAAAAATGGTCTAGATTCCCTGGACTAATTTTACCCCGAATCTTCACGGGTCACCCCCGTATTAGACCCGCGAAGCTCGCGTACCCATTCGGGGATTGGGCGCCTCTCTTATAAATGTTATTTTCTACTTTATAAATGTGTACCTCGATATCCCTAAAAATCCCTTTCTTGTTACTATTCCTGTTACCCGCGTCTCCATAGATTTGAAACGTATTTCGAAACAAAAATCCTACTATCATTTTTACCTGTACATGTATTGGACCGTTTCTTGATTTAGTCAAGTTTTATACTTTCTTCCGAAATACACGAGGAGCAGCACTTGTTTGTTGGTTTGTCGTTTGAAGCACAGGAGTCCGTATCTAAAAATAGACATCCTCATGCATATTCATGACCATCTCCACACGCGAGCCCTCGCGTGTGGAGATGGTCATGAATATGCATGAGGGTGTCTATTTTTAGATACGGACTCCTGTGTTTGAAGATGCACTCAGCACTATTCCAGTTTTATGACGTCGGTCTGTAAATAATCGAGTCTGGACCAGACAATCCCGTGATTGATATCATGAGCATTAATCAACGCAATTGGGATACGATGACATGCATCAACCAAGTCAACGAGTCTGACCACCTGATCCCGTTAGTCGCCTCTTACGACAAGCATAGTCGCCTTTTACGACAAGCATAGGCCTGCAGCCATTCAAGGAGATATATCCAACTAATGCAAAATGAAATCAAACTGGGTTTTTTATTTTTTTAAGTCATCACTATTAATTATCATCATCATCATTTTCAATATTTTTATTATTATTACTTTAATAAAGTTACGAATTCACGTTTGTAAAATCAATTATTCATTCCGAAACAGTAACATCAATAGCAAGATGAGAAATTATGGTGAATTTGAAATCCCTAATTAAAAAGCCAAATTACTTTCATAAGTTCAGTTACATGCTCTGTTTATCATGAATGAGTTACCATATTACGCAAAATGAAATAACGTCGAATAGGTGTGAATAACACATCCATAATAACATGTCAAGTCTTCCGTGGTCAGATTGAATATATTGCTCTGTGAAATAATTATTCAAAACTTTGAATGGCTTTTAGAATTGATACACACAAGGAAGAAGAATTGTGGATGTCAAATTCTTTATTATAGGTAACTCAACGTTTCAGAGTATATACTAACTCTTTTATCAAGTGAATGTGAATAAATGTGTGAATGCAATTATTATTGTTTTAAAAAAAAACATCATAGAGAATCCCTAAAATGCAATTTACGCCATCTGTCTGGCAATACAAAGAGAGTGTCGCACAAAAGCTTTCAATTATATCGCATGCTTTTCTATAGCATTGTCCGACCGGCTAAGATAAATTATTCACCTTCAAACAGTTTGAAATACAATTCATTGAAACATATATCACGCATCATTTTAATATCGTTAGGAAACACCCAATTGAAAGCCACACCTTCACATGTGAGTAGTATATTTAGTTGACATGCACTCCACGATATGACTGTTGGGGACTTCGACCGCTGACAAAACGTTACAGGTAAGATTCATGCTACAATTCACATATGACATTGTGCTAAATGCATTTAGCCGTCTAAGTCATCGTCGACCTACCAAGGTTTTTGTGCTTTTATTATATACTTCAGTGTGAAAGACTGAGTTTTCTGAAGTTGAGAAAAGTGATATTGGCATTGCAGTGAACACTTGGAGAGAGAAAGAGGGGGTGAGAGTTGGGATTCTATCGAAAAATAAATTGTCATGAGATTCATGAGAGTGATTTAATTAGATAGTTATTTTCAGTTTCGTGTTATTCTTAGATTGGACATAGTATACACTATACACCGGACCGTGAACACCCGGGTTAGAATTGGTTAAAAGCAACCCATGCTTGTCCTATAAGGCGACTAACGGGATCGGGTCATGCTCGTTGACTTGATTGATGCATGTCATTGTATCTCAGTTGCGTAGATCGATGCTCTTGATGTCAGTCACTGGATTGTCTGGCCCTAACTCGATTATTTACAGACCGCTTCTTACGACAAGCACACACGGACACACATACCTTAACAAAGTTACAAGTTTTTGTGTCTTGCAAATTTCTGTAAAACATGTGAATCAAGATATATTATATATTGCCGACAAAAAATAAGGGCACTGGTGAAACGACAGTGAAGCTGTAATGACGATAACTGTCTGAAAAATTATTTTCGGGCGTGTAAATCAATATCTGGTGCGACCACCATGTTGGGTGATACACGCACAACATTTTGATGGTATACTGTTGATTAATTTGCATATGGTTGCCCTTGGTATTACCCGCCATTCCGCCAGAAGAGCTACTCCAAGTTGGGCCACGTTGATGGGCGCAGGGTCTCTGGCTACACTCTCCGACCTAGAACATCCCGCAAATATTCTATTGGGGACATCAGGGGACTTAGTGGGGCCAGTCCAATATCCGTATATGCTTTGTCGTCGGAGATAATAGGTGACGATCTTTGCACATGTCTGTATAGTCTGGCATTGTCTTCTTGCAGTTCAAAATTTCTGCCGATAATTCTAGCGAATGGAACAACGACAGGAGGCGAGAGAGAGAGAGAGAGAGAGAGAGAGAGAGAGAGAGAGAGAGAGAGAGAGAGAGAGAGAGAGAGAGAGAGAGGGCCCGCCAGGCCCATTCGTGGTTTTGCCTAGGAGGGTTTGTCCGAAAAGAAAGGGCAACCTGGGGGACTTTGGGGTTGCTTATTAAATTTGGGGGAAAGTTGGAATTAGGAACAATGCCGTGCTATAGTTTGGGGAACTAAAGGAGTTTCTATGGTTGTGTGGGGTTTTTTTTAATTTTATTTATTTTTTAGTTTTTAGTTTTTTTCTTCTTTTTTCTTCTTCTTTTTTTCTTTTTTCTTTTCTTTTTTTGAGGGGGGAGCTTAGCATGGTATAGAATGATTTAGTTGTTTATTAGATGCGGCCTAGTAGACCTGTTTTAATTAGGAAAATGCCTTATGCCTTGAAGTTTTGTAGGTTGTTTAGTGGGTTTAGAACAGATGCCAAAGACATTTGTTTGTTATAGTTAATTGTGGAGTTGAGGGTTGAGGGTTGTTCTGTGTTGTTGGTGGTGTGTGCAGTGTAATCGTGCGTGTTCAGGTGTTTCACCTGTTTGGTGGTTTCTGATTTTGTGTAGGTGAGACCTTAGTTTAGTGTGCCCTGTCTGTAATTTGATTATTGCCCTGTCGATTTGTTTTTTTGAGTGGCTTTTGGAGCACCTCTTTCAGTTTACAGTTTGATTTCTGATATTGGTTTTGCCACTTTTACACATCTACCACTTTTGGCGAATTTTACTCTTAGTGATACTTTTAATCTCGTCTTTAGATATTGGTAGGTTGATGCTTATCTCTTCTAATTTTAATGATGTTTTGGCTACCTTGTCGTCGCGTTCATTACCAAACACGCTGACGTGGGCAGGTATCCACACGAATTCTATTTCTTTACCTAGGTTTGTTGGAGCATTTGAGTATCTGTTGAATAAATTTAGGTTGATTATTTGTGTTTTTGTTTTTGAAGGCTTGGAGTCCAATTAGAGAGTCAGGAAGGATTTAGGGTTTTTTGGTGTTTTTTAATTTGGGGGTTATGTAGAACTGTGGCCATCCCATTAATTCGGCCGTGAAAATTGATTGATTATTTGGGAGCCTAAAAGCATTTAGTTTCTTTTGTGGGTTGGTATACATGGATGCCGAATGCTGTGAGTTTCGAGGCCGGGTCGGAGGAACCGTCTGTATAGATGTGACACCAATTTGGCCATTTCTCGTGTATGTATGATATTGTGATGGCTTGAACGGTATTAGGGTCGGTTTCTTTATTAAGTTTGGAGGAGAGTGTTGTGTCTATATTGGGGATTTGTAGTTTTGGTGTGAATATGTTGTTGGGTTTTGTGGTTAGTCTCAAATCGTTTAGGTTGTGTATCTTGAAGCACTTGAGTGTGCGTTTAGAGATTGGTGTTAACAATGGGTTTTTCCGTGCTAGTGCTTGGTGTTTTAGGCTTATATTGTTTTTAAGGATGTGTTGGATTAGGGTGTGTTGTTTTGTTGAGGCCATGAAATTTATTGTTAATTTCCTCGGCGTAAATCCAGAGGGATTTAGCCTGTTAGGGCCTGCAGTGAGGTAAGCGGGGTGCCCTGTTGTGTGCGTGTAATTATCTTAAGTGCTTGGTATTGGATTGAGTTACGTTTATCGTTTAGTGTGTGCTTAAGGTATTGTATATTGGTCATCCATAGTCTATTTTTTATCTAATTAATGAATTTAATGATGTGTATAGTGGTAGTAGGGTCCCCTTGGCGGCCCCCAAATTGGAACCTGTCAGGCAGCGTAGTGTATTTAGGGCTTCACTGCATCTATTTATTAGGTTCTTAATGTGAGCACCCCAGGTTAGATGTTCATCAAAGATTAGTCCTAGAAATTTGGTCTGTTTTTGGAAATGTATAGGATTATTGTTAAATTGTAGTTTGGGGGTGTTTGCGTGCACATTTTTGTGTTTGAAAACTATCTCTGTGGTGTTTTCGGCATTTAGTGAGAAGCCCCATTTGTTTGCCCATATTTGTATTTTGTTTAATGCCTTCTGCAATAATTTTTGTGCAATATTTATGCTTCTAGAGCGGATCCAGAGGGCTGGGGCATCTGCGTATTTAAACTTTCGAACTTTATTTGACAATCCCTCGAAAAAGTCGTTTATCATAATGCTGAAAAGTGTTGGGCTTAGGATGTTGCCTTGGGGTGTGCCACTTTCTAGGGGACACTGGTTCGACAGCGATTGGTCGATACCCACAGTTATTTTGCGATTTGTTAGGAAGTCTTGAATATATTTTATTATTTGGCTTTTGAAACCTTCCTTTTGGAGTTTTTGTATTAGTCCGTTATGCCACATCATGTCCGTTGGTACGTTTTAATGTCTTGTTCCAAGCGGGCGAGATTGTCTAAGGTTGAGTGGCCTTGGGTGAATCCGCTTTGGTCCTGGTTTATAATATGTTTTGGTCTAGGTAGTGTTGGAGCCTATTTTTGACCATTGCCTCCATGATTTTACACAAATTGGTTTGGTTCGACTGTCAAGTGTGATACCCGCCCCATACAATGATTTTAATCTATTGTGTAGTGAAAATAATATAATGAGACGATCCTTTCTGGATGTGGGTCTTGATGTCCCACTGTCGAAAAAATACACTTTTTGATTTGCCAATGTCCGTGTAACTTTGGATGTTGACACCCACCCTACCACACCCGCCCTCTATCGTGCCCCTAATGCACCATTTCGTCTCTTCATTGAGGGGGGGCACAGGTGGTCCAGTCGTCTAAGGCGCCGCCATTCGCTGTGCAGAGTTGCGTCCCTTGGGCACGCCAGAAACCTGTGATTGTGGGTTCGAATTCCGGTTCTCCCCGATTATGTTTCTAGGATTGTCAGCACCATACCCGTGCTCGTGAGTTTCACCGAAGTGGTAAACGTCTCAGACCTGCGTCACTTCGGGCTTTCCTCCCACACGATATAACTGGATTACACCCCGCCTTAAAGCGGCGTTAAACCCAACTCACTCACTCACTTCATTGAGATACTGTCTCGGACACTAAGCTCAATTGCATGAGTGATTGTGAGTTTGCTGCTGTGTGCACGTGCATCACGTGCCTTCAGAAGCAACGCGACAATATTGTATATGTGCACCTCAACCATAGCTGCACTCATATTTTTAGGTCCCTTATTTTTTGTGGGGAGTATGGTTTTTTTCCATTACAAGTAGTGCAGATTTGAAATTAACCAATTGAAATATTCTGAGCATGTCGTAATGACAGAGAGGATACACGCGGCACCAGAACCTAAGGAACTTGTTTTAGGTTGTCACCCCTAAAAGGCGGCGCTATGTTAACACACATCTACCACATGCATCTGAGTAGCTGATATGTAACATGAAGTGGTTTCCCAAGTCAGTATATTGACAATTTGATTTCCCTAAACAGCCCCTAATGCATTATGGTCGGAAATTACTTTTGAACCCAGTTTGGACGTGCAGAGGATATGCCGACAGCCTGTAATCGAGTCCTATGTCTGATACTTTGACCTCTTATGCCGTCCAAGTACGATGACACGCTATCAACCAAGCGACCGTCCCTGACCACCAGATACATTCAGCCGTGTCTTGCCACGAACATCGGTTGATGGTGACCTGCTCTAATCGGAATCTCAACGGGAGCAAAGTAGAATAGTAGCATAGTAGCACAGCAGTGCGGTGGCTCTTCCTGCATTCGATCCATGTTTCGATTCCAAACACAATACATTGTGCGTTCACTTCAAGAAAGTACATCTGAGTGTGAATGTCGTATATCGACGCAGCCATCACTAATCCAGGGACATCTGGAAGTTTGTAAATGAGCAAGGGCTCCTTAGATAATAGCGAAGTGGGTAATCAAACACTGTTCCGTGACAGGGACAGAACGTTCTAACCACTAAACTACCATACTACTCCTGAACATGCGTAATACGTTTACATTCTCTGTGTAGGTGACAGGTGATCAAGAAACAGAGGTCTCTAGAATAAGGCTCGGTGGAAACAGCCCAACGTGAGATAAGAATCTCCGGCAGACATGCATCAGCTGTGCTTAAACGCGGCTGTAGTCATCCTGTGTCTTGCTCCGACGCCAGCCGCACAAGGTCAGCCAACGCCCCATGAACTTGGTCTGCAAACAGATCCTGGAGCAGCGGAACCATTCAAAGGAATATCGAAGTGGATAAAGGTTCTCCACGATAAAGGAGTCGACTTTCGAACGCTGTTGAGGGACCCGTTCGGCGTACAAGGCAACCATGACCCCTTCTCTGAACATTGCCGTCACGCCATCATTTACGATAAGTCAATGATATGCAGATTTCAAAGCATGTACCCATCCTGTCAGATCAAGCAGATAAGAACTTCAACCGACATGGGCTTTGCTGCAGAGATATATAAATATAGTGGTATATCTCATATCAGTTCCCGTTATCACTCTTACCGTCCCCCATTTAAGGACCCTATTCCTGAAATGATACAAGAATGTAAAAACCCTAGTAAAGCTGATAAACCATCATGTCAGGTCATAATGCTCGTTGAGTTTCGCGAAAAAATCCTGAAACAGATTGTGAACTTTGGGAAAGCAAAGAGGCTACAAATGTCCAAATACACCACCCAAGCTTGGTACCGTCATCCGAAGCTGAAACCTGTCTGTCGATCCCGCCCTGATGAATTGGTGAAATACGTGACAGAACTATCCAAAATCAAAACACTCAAAGACAAGATTGTTCCACTCTTAGACACAAACGTGTGGCCTGTCAACATAACTGCCCCCTTTAGAGCCGAGCTTGATGCCGTGTGTAAAACTAACCCTGATGACAAATTTTGCATGTACAAGAAGGTGTTCCTCTTGTCTGAGCCAATACGAGAAGTGAAAAAAATAGCTGACAAATATACATGGGAAAGTGGGGTAGCGCAAGCAGCTATTGCTGCCCTCTCCATGCAGTTCAAAGACTTCAAGAAAAATAGTCCAACTGAATTTAAGGACATTCCACCCTTGTCCGAAAAAGCACTATATGTGGAGAATACTCGACACATATTTGCCGTTATCCAGGAAAACAATTTCGTTGGACTAAATGCCCTGATGTCCCTCTATAGTAAGTTCGAGGCTGCCTATTTCGGAGAAAAGAGTGTGAGTGGAACAACGGAACAGGTGCTCCTCTACAATCTGCATAAACTTGTGGAACAAGCTCGTCTCATTGTTGACAGGCACCAGCAAACGCTAAAAACCAGAAAAGTTCTTACAACTGAAGTTGATTTAAAGGTTCTGCTTCGCAGCACGGAGATGAACAAGATCCTCGATTTTGTTAAAGGTCAAAAATCTGATTTGTTAAACATCGCTAATTATCTCACTGCCAAAGTAGGTCAGAGCGTAGCCAGCCAATTCGAGGGACTGAAAAAATATTTCACTAAAGTGGAGTCTTTCAATAGGGATAAATCAATGGCAGATATCAAGTACGTTAAGGGTATGTTGGACACATTCACAAAATCCTCTAAAAAATTGCAAGGGACTGTCAATGATAACATAGACAAGATCGTTAAGTATGCTCTACAAACAGCACAGGCACAGGTCGGGGAGCAGGCAGCCATGTTAGCACTGAGGATAGCGGAGGCATGTAACCCAATGGACTGGCTTCTAAATGGCGGGTCTGCCAGTGAAATTATGGAGACTGCAGCAATTTTAGCAAACAGTATTGCAGATTTGGCTGTGGTAGAAAAACTGAAGTCATCAGTATCAAGTCTTATCAAAGAAACAAAAGCCTTATCAGTTGGTTTTGCTAAAAACAACGACTTTCTGAAAGTTATCCGTCGGGTTATCGATAATATAGATTCCCCCTATTCCAGTTTTGAAGCAGATAAAACATTTTTCTTAAGCAAATACGCGGATTACCAGCCGGGAATTACACGACCGCAGCTAGTAGGAGTTGAAGTATTTTGGGGTGTCGTTGTTGACGAAGCCTGCACCATCATCGAGAATTCGCAAGCATCAGCTTCAGCACATTTTAAGAGAATGGTCGGGAAAAGCGGGATATGCTGGAAGACCAAAATTGAAATTGCAAAAATGATCGAGACCTTCTCCGAAATATACGACTTTCAGTTTGATTTAGTAGCAGACATGGCGTCTTATATGAGAGCCCAAACTGCAGTAAATGCCGCACAGTCTATGAATGCCAACTTTGATGCGATCACCTCCAAGGCAGGGGCTGCAGAGGACAAGCTGATGGTGATGGAGCAAATGTCCGCCATTATGGTCGTCACCCACAAGGTTCAGACGTGGGTCATCGTAGATCAGTATTGCAATATCCTGGAGTACAAAAATGGTGGACGGAGGCCGGCCGTATGTAAAGGTGTGAAATCCGCTGTCCCGGCTCTTCTTGCGCATCCAGAAGCAGCCTGTGACAATGAAGTTCGCTTGTATGTCAATATCCCTACCGTTCCCTCAAAAAGCTCGGACAAAGCCTTCGTTAACATTACGGATTTATATGCTGGTAATGAGATCACATTTAAGATCGAGAATCAGCAATGGTTGAGGGATAATGGTTGGATTGGGGTGAATGATATTATTATTGCATCATATGTTAAAGATTTCGAAGTTTATGCACCAACAAAAACGACGACTTACAGGCGTGTTAAATCATCAGTTATTGGTTTGTTGAATAACGAACTTATTCCAGGCCAAACTGAATATGTCATAGTCCCACAACATCCAATGGTATTTGAGTACCAAGAAGGGCTATTACTGCATAACTGTCGCAAGGGGAAACTCCAGAACCCATACACCACCTGCACGAATGATAAGATCTCGTATATCTGCCCCCTAAGCAACGATCTGACAACCTGCGAGGAACTCAAAACCAAAACGTTGCTGTTTCCTTCCATTTTCTCCACCTGGAAGATCCAGCTCCATGGGTTTAAGTTCTCGCCTGTTCCTGACCCAGCAACCGAACTCCCCATCAAAGTTGGAATACTGATGTGCACCATGTACAACAGGACTGCCGAAAGGCAGATAACTCGACGGGATATCCGAGACACGCCGTCCCAACATTCACTGTCTGTACGAAGTGGCGACAGGGCTGGTTGCGCTAAATCCTGCTGCCCCGCGAACCAGTACTTGTCCCAGAAGACCTTCACTTGCAAGCCATGCCCAGCTGGGTCCGTCTCTGCGCTGGGCGGGTATTATTGCCAGAAGGCTCCTACTGAGTGAGTGAGGTTTCGAAGTAAGATGGGGTGCTGTAATAGCACGTGGACGTATAGAAGATAATAAGGGATTGACCATTTTATATTTGGTGGGATATTTCTTTTAATAGTTCTGGAAAAAAATATTTTTCTTCCGATTTTAAAACAGGACATACTGGGTGTCAGGAAAAACGCGTGCTAAACAAGAAAAGATCTGCTCCTCCTTTTAGAGTAAAATAATATGTCTTGGAGAAGTGGCCGAAAATATATTGTTTTACCCCCAAATATAGGCCTTCAATTTATTATTATATAATCAAGAAAATGTATACAACCTTATGCTGTTATATAATCAAGAGATTAGTCTTTTTCTATTTATATAATCAAGAAGATATATACAGGAATATGCTATTATAAACTGTCCGGCAAAGTATATCTGAAAAAAGGATTTAACCAAATCATTACGAACGTTATCAAAACGTTACTAGACTGAACACATTAGTTCTAAAACACAACTATAATACCCGTATCAAAAACATCACCCTCGACAAACCATTTGTCGTTTGTTTCATTTTAGCCACCATCACTAAAAACTCTTTTGCCCGACTGTTTATAATCAAGAAGACGTATTAATATGTATACATGCTTATACCTAGCTATTATCAAATTTCTACGTGAAAGCTTTTGTTTGCTTGTTTGTTTGTTTGTTTTTATATTTGTTGTTTTATATCCATGTCAATGGATACATCGTTGTAATCACAGGGTGTATTGCATTCTATAATTACGCACCATGGTTAAGAAATAATAGGACACAATCAGTAATACTAAATCTTAATGATCATCATTTTTAAGATACTTCTTAAAACCCATTAAGCTTTCGCTAAATATGTCCCAAAGATCAGATACATTTATATTGAAAGTCTAACAGTTAAACGTCTGTTGTACATCTTCTGTATTGTATGAATATAAACATGTTCAAGTTTATCATTCTAAATTCCCCTTGTAATTAATACTTTATTAAGTCTATTTTTTAAATTTTATCCGGCTAATCATTCAAAATGAATTAAAAGAATATTCTGTCTACAGCCCCTGGAATTTCTGAAGAAAAAAAAGATACTTGTCCGTTTTGAATAACACATCCGAAGAATAGCTGATTAAAATATTTACCCATTTAATCAAGTAAGGAACAAAGCCATATATTACTAGAACAGGAAGTATAAATGGTTTTTTGATAGTACCAAATGCTTTTTCAAAATTAGTTAAGATCAGCATGTCAGGTTTGTCGAACATCGTGCAATATCATCTACCAGGAATTATTCCTGTCTGTTCTCTTTGTGAAACTTTATGCCTATGTATATCACGATAATGTGTGACAGCTTACACCTAAGTATTATTATGTTTCTATGTGAAGGTTTCTGCCTATGTATTATCAAGATGTGTGAAGGCTTATATAATACAAACTTGTGGTATTACATTATCAAGATGTGTGAAGGCTTATGCTTCCTTCTAATCAATGTAATCTGTGAAGGTTTATATTATACAAACTTGTGGTATTTTACAATCAAGAGACGATCTTTTTTTCATTCTGTATGCATTGTTGAATAAAAGCTTTTCTCCGCACAACTACTCGAACCTCGTTGTTCATAGTAAAGGTGAACCAACCTCACGAGCAGTAAGGGGTGGTCGGGTGGCCAAGTGGTTACAGCGTTCGCTCGTCACACCGAGGACCCGGGTTCGATTTCCGACATGGGTACAATGTGGGATTACTACGAACATCTAACTGTTGCAATGTTGCGACACTGTTGTAATAGAAATACCACAAATGCAATGCTAATCACTTGTGATGGTTGTACGAGTAACTTCCCGAAATGTAGATTTTCTGGCTTTAACCCGGCCGGCTGTAACGGCCTAACGAGAACGCTGGAGTCATGTTGGTGATGTATCTCCAAGCATCGTCTGGGGGAACGGGTGGCCCAGTCGTCTTAGGCGCCGCGATTCGCTGTGCAGAGTTGCGTCCCTTGGGTACGCCAGAAACCTATGATTGTTGGTTCGAATCCCGGTTCGCCCCGATTATGTTTCTTGGTTTGTCGGCACCATACCCGTGCTCGTGGGTTTCACCGAAGCCGTTAACGTCTGAGACCTGCATTACTTCGGGCTGTCCTCCAACATTAAGCTGACACGCCGTGATATAACTGGAATACTGTTAAAAGCGACGTTTAACCCAACTCACTCACTCCAAGTATCGTCCGATTTGAACGGGTCCTGAATAGACACCAGGGTGTCGTTGGCGCTACGACAGTCATAAGTCTATGTTAAGGTATGGGAGCTACGACCACCTTACCGCTACAATCGCTTCGTACAACAGCACCCTGGTGTATATCAGATAAAAGTGATAAGGTACTTACTACAGGTGTGAAATTTTAAAAGGTCAAAATATATTTATTATTAAATTCTCTTCCCCAATCGCCTCACTTCATCCCACGTCACGTAATTTCATTGTCCCCGAATGCCTTCAAATGTTTAATACTGTTTCTTGAAATACTGAACATACTTTTCCCTTCATGTGAATCATCCATTGATGCACAGATGCCTTGAGCAGTTCGTTTAAAACATTTCATTGCACGTGGGTGAAAATTTATTTTATTGTGGCCCAATGCTTCCACATAATTTCAATCACTGATGTCTATTACGATATATCGTAACTATCGATAGTCGTGTGCGTCATTGCCAACTCCTGTTGCCAACACTCTTACAGGAAATTGAACAAAACAACTCAAATCCGTCAAAACTCCAATGGATCACAGTTTATTCCTTGAAGGACGGTAGAGACTTAGCGAGCGGTGGAACTTACTACAACATTTTGTTAATACAATATATTCCAGAGTATCCTGTCCTGCAACCTCTTATGATAAATACATGAGTAATATTACATAGTCTTCACACAATATATAACAAATCACCAAACAAGGCACCAGCATGGTTTTGATCACCTATAGGACTACACAACAACACTCCAAAAATATCGAAAACTCAGACCAGGTTCTAAGATAAACCACATGGTTTCATCAAAACGACCGTTGAGGTTAGTAGTTGAAGCCAGCCTGAATGACGAATGGCATATAATTGGCATGGTACATGTTCGATCTGTGTTATAGCTGCGAAAATGTTAATAAAACACATAAAGCTTAGTCGTTCCAACCATGGAATGCCGTTGATTCTGCCAGCGCTTTAATCAATGTTGCTGACCTTGACCTTGAGTTTGATGTTAAGCGCCTTCATCCGACGCGATATATTGTTACCATCTGGCTTCATTTATACTTTGTACAATTGGAACACATTGTGGTATCATTAGCATGGCGATCAACTCACCTGTGGTATAATGTACAAAAAGGTCTACCTTGCCAAGGGGACTAATAAATAAAGGGCATAAAACCTCATATTGCACTTGTGTCCTCGGCCCGTAGTGAATAAATTAAACAAAAAAAGGAACACCAAACATTGTATAATCGTATTCTACACCTTCTACTTCAATGACCGGCTGTGTAGTAGTAGCTAGTAGTACATATGACTGAGAACAAAATGACTCTACCATCACAAAGCCAAAATGGGTCTGCCTGGCTTAGGTATGCCCGCCATTAGTAAGTGTTTGGAACATGTACAGCAAACTTCTTCCAACGTTCTTGCCCCCCGATCGTTATCTGCAAACTTAGAAATCAGACACCCCCAACTCGTCTTCAAAACTCGGTGCATTGAATTGGGGAGGTGCGCTGAATTTGGCAGATGCTTGGAACTGAGGGGCTGGTTTGGGGGCCGGGGGTGGTACAGGAGCACCCCTGGCAGGGGCTGGGGCTGGGGCACCCCTAGGTGGACCTTGACCTGGCCGGCGCTCTTCTTGTTGGATCATCCTAAACACAGCCGACTGGTTCCAGTCCCGATCCCCTTCCTTGGCTTGTTTAGCTTGAGAAGGTGCTGAGGCAGGAGCCTGTGGCTGGGCGCTATCAACAGGGAAGAGAAGGTGAGATTGGATGTCTCGGATTATTTTGATGAACGATTTCATATTTCTGAATACGTTTGTCTAAGTTTCAAGTCACTTATGTCATCACTGATGGATTTCACTATACGACTTTCTCATATTTCCAAATGAATTTATGTTGTGAAGTTGAAAAAATAACATCATCGCACCCTTTTATAGCATCCTGTTAATGTATATGGTGCATTTTATTTAAGAATTACTATTCTCTTTAATAAAGATAATCATATGAGTTTAGTTTGTGCAGATATGGGTCAAAAGAGAACAGTCATGCCTCGATTTTCAAAAGTTAATTATTGACGAAATGACAATAAACAAATTAGTCAGAACGTTAATATCGAAAAACAATAGATGAACGTTATGGATCTTTGAAATAAGGTTAAATGAAATCTGATGACAGTTGTATTACCAATTAGATATTCTTATCATGGAATCTGATGATGCATTCAATAAAATAAACAAACTCATTCAATGCTACATACAGGATAAGGTTGGCACGTGCATTGGTGGGTGACACGTCATATCCGGTATGTGTATTAACCAATCAGAATTGACCAAGACACTAGGCTAGGGTTCAGGGGTTGCTATATTCCAAATATGACTGAACCCTACATAGAAGAACTTGGACATGGTGTTGGTACGAGACCAGTAAAGGCAGGTGCTTGGTATGTCGCAGTTATCTCCCTTTACAAGGACAAGGACAAGTGACCAATATTATATTTTTGTCCATATACGGTTCGATACGGTTACTAATTAAATTATCATAATTGAATTTGATCGTGACAGTTAATACACGTGTTTCAGAAAAAAATGTTTCATGTGCAATGATGACTTTTACTATGAAAACTTGCAGTCAACAATAAGCGTGCAGTTATCTCATAGCCAATGTCTACCAGCGTTAACGCGACTGATTCGACCATAGTATAGCTACCAGGGAATCTATATAGCGCCTATATAGACTCCCTGCTTATACCAAGCACTGGCTTTCTACATGGGTACCGAGAGGAGCTGCCGAGACCACAGCAATAAGAGGACATGCAGCATCTACACGACGCCACTCTCCACGCGGGCAGGGGCGGACAAGGAGTAACTCACAGCGTCGCTTTTGTCTGACCATCTTTTGTTTCCTGTACATTTTCCTTTGAATACAGGCCCATAGGGGAGTTATATTGCAGATGGACAACCTTTGGGCCATTGACATTCTCCCCCTCACCCTGCTCCTCCAGAGTTGGGGCAGCAGGGTTGGGGTTGAACTGAGTGGCCGCCTGAGGATCGCACAGGGGATGAAAAGCTCCAGACCTTGGGGTAGGCTGCTGGCTGGTGTAGTCCAAGTCTACATCCCAAGGCTTTACTCCGGTCGTTCGTAGACTCTCTCTCCAAGGAGCTCGGACCTCGGGCTCGTTCTGATAGCGTGGTGGCTCTGACTGTACGGGCTGCTGATGCTGCCTTGGGGGTGCCTGCTGAGGCGTCCACTTGAGGCTGGCAGACCGAGAGACTGGTGCGGAGTAGTCTATCCCAAAGGAAGGCGCATCCGGTGATTTCCCCGCGGGTCTTGGTACTTTTGGTATTGGAGTTGCCCTCACCGATGTAGTAACTGAAAATGTTCAAAAGGTTGTAGCAGTGCTCTACACTATTAAAACAATAATTGCTTTAGATCTGTAAGGAAGGGGTTTGTAAAGTATGGCCGATAACGTCACAGGTATAAGATAACACCATAGTCCCTCGTTATCGTTTGTGACATGATGGCCCAGGGTTCTCAGGCGCCGTGTCTATCACTCAGAGTTGCGTCCCTTGGTTGGTATTTCGTTCGAATTCTATATTCGCCAAGATTATGATCCATTGTTGTACACAGCATGTTCATCTATACTGACATGTGGCAATATAACCGAATTACTGTTCATAGCGGCGTTAAAGCTTACAAACGAAAGGAGAAATCATACATATCCAAAGTAGCACATCAAGAAAGCTTTGTGATACTTCATTTCAAGCAGCTTGGTCAGCTACTTCGAGTTTAACTATGTTTTATTCGTAATAAAGATATTTAAGATAAAGGGATTTTTGTTTGCTTCTTATGTTTCAACCAGCCCTTAAACAAACATATTGTTTTCCTTGCTAGTACTTCCATTCTTGTTTGAACTATTCTCACCTGACGGCCTCTGGTCCTGGAAATTTTTCCTTCTCTCCCACACAGGAACAAAATTCTCTTCCTCCTCCGCATATTGTCCACTGTCGATCTGCTCGAATGTTGGTCGGTAGCCTCCCCCTGGGGAGACGGGACCTCCCATTGACATATTGGGCAGGAAGGGTGGTGGCGGGGCAGGCTGCTGGTAAGTCTGTTGTTGGTGAGTAGGTTGCTGATAAGATTGTTGTTGTTGTTGTTGTTGCTGCTGCTGCTGCTGGCCATAGAAAGGAGCAGGTTGATAAGGGTCGGGGGAGCGCGGGGAGTAGATGATGCTGTCTAGACTCTCCTGGACCTTGTTCAGCATTTGACCTTGACCTCCAGCTGGACGGTACGATGGCCTAGAAGATTGTTGAGGAGCCTGGAGGTGTGGACGCGAGAAGTCGGAACCAAAGTCCGGACCGCCACCACCCAAGTTGCTCAAGTTAACCTTCTTGGGTTTGTGTCCGGCCGATGAGCCACCGCCGCCGCCATAGGAAGGCATTGCTTTGGGCGGATTGGTTCGTGGTGCGACAGGAGCTGGGGTACGAAATGTCTGTTAAATAGAATTAAACCGTTGATTGCAATAAATGTTTCTATATTTCTAACTAGATATGTTGAAACATATGAATTTGCGAGTGTGTCCTTACCCCGTTGAAAACAATTAAATTTCGTTGAAATATAATGACCATTTAAGATATGTAAATTAATATCCAAGATTAATCTCCTTCAATGTTTGATATAACAGTAAATTACGTTTATAACGAACACGCTTATAACGAACTGACGGATGTAACGAACTGTTTTACTTGGCCCCGGCAATTTGCTGTATATATGCTGTATACATGCTTATAACGAACTACGGTTATAACGAATTAGAATTAGTTTTTCCCTTTGACTTCGTTATATGCGTAGTTTACTGTATGTCCAAACATTGTTCAATTAAGCTAATGTTGCAATGCTTATAAAACATTGGGGTGGGGGTCGGCAAGGGTGATCTAGTCGTCTAAGGCGCTGCAATTCGCTGTGCAGAGTTGCGTCCCTTTGGGCACGCTAGAAAGCTATGATTGTGGGTTCGAATCACGGATCGCCCCGGTCATGTTTCTAGTTTGGTCAGAACAAAACCCGTGGGTTTCACCAAAGTGGTAAATGTGTGAGACCTGCATCACTTCCGGCTTTACTCCCATATTCAGCTGACACGCCGTGATGAAACTTTAATACTGTTGAAAACCCAACTCACTCACACTATAAAACACAAATTCTTGTAACTGTTACATGATTCCGAATTTACATGTTGCATACCGATGTCTATACATCGTGTATGATATTACAAATTACATACCGATGCCTGTATATCGTGTATGATATCTCAAGTTACATACCGATGCCTGTGTGTCGTGTCGCCCTGGAGGAGGTCTGAAACGAACAAGTCCGGTCAATATTTGTTAGTAAAACATGGGTAACGTTCAACATTTTACGTCAAGAGCGCTTTTCAAGCGTCAAATAATAACACAGAACAATGACCAACATGAAACGTACAGGACGGGTGTTTCAATGAAAACAATTGCTGATATGAGTGGCTTGGGTATAACAAGGTTTAGGGTATAAGGTTTGGGGTATTCCCCATTGAGCTACCCTCAAAGTAATAGGACGTATACAGTCTGAACGTATAGGTCTACTGTGGTCCTTATATAACATTAATGGAACGTTATGTGTAGGAGTAATTAATATTGAAATATGGATCTCTCTACAGTATATTACCGTTGTTGGGAGATTAATGATGACAAGAGGTGCAGGACTACAACATGCTTTTTCCCAATCAACAACATCTAATCTCATTGTTATTGTTAACCATAGAGATTAATCGTATTTGTTTATTCAAAAGCTTAATTTGCTTCTATGGGTACATTTTCGCATAAACGACTGACCATTCTGCTGAGGGTGAGGGCGAGGGTGAGGATGTGTTTGTGAGTCTGGGTGGGGTTATGACATCTTCCCCCGGCAAGGGAGTTAATTAACTAATAAAGTCCAGTTACCACCCTTGCCGAACTAGGCTGGAATTTCCAGGCTCGTTCGTAGCTCCACCAGTGGCTATTACGAGTTATGCCCCTTCCATGTCCCTCCTATTGACCAATCAGATTCCATCTCTCATATCACTTGCATTTGCTTCAAACAAAATGGCGGTGCTCAGTCAAGACGATCAAGAGTCAAGAAGATTTATATTGTAATAAAACGGGTCTTCCGCCGCGAAGTGCATCAAATCACCTGAACACCTTGATTAAAAACATGAAAAGATTTGCAAAATATCTGTCGACGCCCAGTACACATGCTTTGCAAATCCTGCAGTCGACCGAAATCTGCACGTTGAAATCCATATTGTTTACGAACCGGATGTCTAGTTCGTTACGCGATTTTGATTAGACTATGCATAGACTCGTTAGCCCAGCCAAAATGTAACTTCGGAATTCAAGATAAGTTCGGCAGGGTGAAAACTGGACCTTCATAGTCAGTTAACGCCCTTGACTCGGGAAGATGGGTTATGAATGTTGTGGAGGGAGTTGTCATTGTTGCTGCAGACAGAGTATTTTAGGACACTGCTGCAAAACACGTTTTGTAAAAGGAGGTGCAAAAAAATTAAACCCACATGCAAACTTATTGTTCACAGTATGTTCTGGAACGATATCTTCTTCAAAAAGGTCCCAGGCACCAAGAATATTTAATGGTCAGTCCTTTAATATACACAATCGATAAATTACACATGGAGATCGGTATAGAACATGCTTACAAGGATGACAGAGAATGGAAACAGTGCATGAGATAAGGACATGTACCTATCTATCTCCACGTGGCAGAGCGGACAGTGCGGACGGCTAGCTACGTGGCATACTTACATGTTTCAGTGTAGACAGTGTGCATTGTAGATATATATATACAGGCAAATAACCACCATGTCCACTTTCGTTGCAAACAAAACATAGAGATTACCTATCTACACATATATACTTACTGGGTGGATTGACTACCCGTTCTGGAAAAAATAACAATTTATTGAAGTCACAATTGACCGTTTTCTGGTCAATGGTGAGTTGGCCTTAGAGTTACTTCCCTTTGTTAAACTGTCGGTTTTTATAATCTCCGTGGTTTCAAGAGTTGCTTCCCTTAATTTACATTAACTATCTGTTTAACAAAATATCTGTATCCTTCGTACCTAAGGACTTAGAACATGGCCTAAACGATAGATGGGTCCATCTGCTTTTATTGTTTTCTGCAAGAGAGCAAGGAGAGTTTCAAAATCTAATTTAATCTCCGACATGAGGTCAGTTCACTTCGGCAGCGTTTAAATTAGCATTTAAAGCCCAAATCTGGATTCATAAAAATATTGTAAGGGTCTTCCCCGTGTATAGTGGGGCAGTTGGTTAGCCTAGTGTATAACAGTTCGCTCGTAACTCCCATACTTTAACATAGGCTTACGATAGTCTTAGCGCTAAGATCGCTTTGTGAAAGTGGGCCCTGGGTTGGATTCCCTTTACGTGGATAAGCTTAGAAAATAATGTCGATGACCCTGATTCGGTATGATTATCTAAGCATCTGATGTGGTCGATGAGAGGTCTTTGACATATAGTCAATAGCGAATATATCGAATTCCACTGGACCATCAACATCACCTATTACTTAAAAATAACAAAGAGTTCGAGTTATTTAGGTAAATAGAAACGCTAGGAGAAAAGCTGGTTGGTAATAATAGCCTTTCATATAGCCAAGCTCCCTCTTTAAACAACCGGGATAATAGATTATCAGTGATATATCTGACAAAATGACGTACTCGATTATCCAAAGTACTTTAATATGTGTTCCGATGTGACCCATTCGCTAAAAATAGACGTCCAGTCAAATTAAAACGACCCCATTTCGAATGTAAGATCTAAGACGAACGTGCGTTCAGAAGAGGCAATTTGATTGGTAGTTGTTGTCATGAGCGAAGCACATATTGATGACGTCACTTCCGAAACAATGGCGACTCGATCCAGGGTATTTATCATAAGAAAATGGAGGTCAATACACTGGATAATCGAGGATGATAGGAAACATGTAGTGATATAGACCTGGTAACGACGAGGTTGATCTGTCCTCCGCCTCCCTCTATGAGGTCCTTTGCTTGCTTGTGTGTCAACTCGTCGCCGTTCCTGTTGCCGATTGAAACAATGACGTCACCTCTCTGGAGCACACCTTCCGCAGGGCTGTTGGAGAACACCTGGAAAGGAGAAAGCAACGTCATGTGATTCTACGTCATGGAAACAAGGCTTCGACTGTCGGGAGTCCTGGTTAGAATAGGTCCCCAGAAACCCATGTCTGTGGTAAGAGGCGATTAAATGGATCGGGTGGTTTAGCTCGGTTAATTGAATGAATGTCATGGAGTCTCAATTGAGTCAGTCTTTCAATTGTCTGGTCCAGACTCAATTATTTACAGACTGCTGTCATATAGCTGGCATATTGCCGAGTGTGGCGTTAAACAACAAACAGGCAAAATACAATTGTTAATTTTCAGAACAGAACAGAACTTTATTACGCTCAAACTGAAACCATCGGCATATGACATAAAAATAAAATTATTTACAAGTTTCATTATAAGACAACAGAATTTACAAGGTTCCTCTTTACAAATAATTTTGAACATGAAAAAAGTGCATGGAATTATGAGATATTCGGTCTTAATAAATATGAATTCGGAACATACAATTTTCTCTCTTTTGTAAAATATGTACTTTTAAAAATGATTAAATTCATCCCTACTATCATCTGTACAACGCAATTTACATTTTCTAACATATAAAGGTATCTTAGTCCATCCTCCCTTTTCAATAGGTAAATGGTGCCATGATGATCGGGAAAAGAGTAATTGTATTTCTATATTGAAAGGTAAGGACTTTGGATAGTTTTCAAGGTTAAGTTTTGGTTTCACGAGGGAATAGGTTATACTCTTACTTGGTTTGCCATATATGAGCTCCAGTTTTGTTAAGCATTATCAGTTTGGGTACGACGAGCATTGTGTTAAAGCCAGGAAGGTGCAATAGAAGACTGTGTAAGCCACATATAGATCATTTAACACGTTGTGAATGAAGGAAAACCAGTGCAAGTTGTAAGGATTTGTACAGTAAAGTCTATATACAATTAATTTCGACTAAAATTTAACATACGGAATTTTACGTCAACAGAAAGTGGGTCTCGTCCTAATTCGACATGAGTGAGTGAGTATGGTTTTACCCGCTTTTAGCAATATTCCAGCAATATCACGGCGGGGGACACCAGAAATGGGCTTCACACATTGTACCCATGTCAGGAATCGAACCCGGGTCTTTGGCGTGACGAGCGAACGCTTTAACCACTAGGCTACCCGGCCGCCCCTAATTCGACATGAAGCATAAACAACGGAGTACTTTTCTTTAAAGACAATGTTTTTCTCATAAAACATACATGAACATTCAGCAACGTTCAATTGCTGCTTCTTCACCACGAATAGCTGCAATGTTGCTGATTCGGCGTTGAGCAATAATCACTCATTCACTCATGGCAGCGTCTTACCACTTCATCACGGTGGCGCTCACTACAGCTCGTTCAGAATATCATAACAACACAGATATGTCTTCCAGGAATACTGAAGTTTAAGTTCTTATATCTGCTATTACGAGCGTAGAAAGGGACGCTTCATTATCACAAACTAAAGAAATCTAGACTTTCCAAAGAATTGTAGACTTGCCTGGTATTTTCTTTAACGTTCAGTTGGGAGAAGAGAGAACTGAAGAAACCCAACCGGTCTAAGTGTATGGATGAGTGTATCTATCTACCTTTAGACCGTATATTACACATTGCACTATGATAACCTTGATGTAATAATATACTTACAGTAGTATCATAAGTCTTCCCCCCACAATCCTCCCGTTGTTTTGGATACCTGACCCCTGGGTTCTTAGGCAGGATGTTCCAGACTGTACGAACCCCTATCAAGTGTCGGTACATGTACTTCACTGGTACTAATAAGTCTTCGTTGAGAACACACGGACAACAATTTGTTCCAGTACATCAGTCATGTCAGTGGGTAAAGGAGGATATATACTACTCAAAAAAGTTAAGGATCACCCGATTCTTTCCCATTACAAAAGTTAATGTTGTCATGGAATGACAGCTAAACTATAGTAATGTGAAAGAATTGGACGATCCTTAACTTCGTATGGATGAGTGAATGATGTTTAACGCCGCAGTCTGCACCATTAGAGTTATACCACGACGGTCAGAAAGTGCTTGAGTCTGGACCAGCAAGTAGGTTGACAATGTGAAGTATGGTGTTTGCCCTCAGGGTACGATCCCTGCCCGATATCTTTTCTCCAACAGGTACTGGGATGCCATTTTGTCCCAGAATGCTAAGCGTGAGGCATGGAAATACTTAATTGTTTTTGTTGATATTATATGCGAAAGTTTCGCACATATAAACACCAAGTCTACCGCGCGAACCTCCCAGTTTGCGTCTGCATGACCTCGCTGACCCCTGAGATAGCGAGATAATGTTTATTCCAGCGATACTGAAGTGTGGCTTGATGTTGATTGTTCGGTGATCCGATGCCATAGATGATGCCATAACACGAAGGCCGTGTGGTGTACACATTCTTACACAGAAGCAGCGAAAACATCATTACATATAGACCATGCGGTCTAAACATCATTATATAAAGACCACGCGGTCTAAACACCATTTCAGGAAAACAGTGTAGTCTAAACATCATTACATAAAGACCATGCGGTCTAAACATAATTATATAAAGACCATGCGGTCTAAACACCATTTCAGGAAAACCGTGTGGCCTAAACATCATTACATAAAGACAATGCGGTCTAAACACCATTTCATGAAAAACGTGTGGTCTAAACATGCTTACATAAAGACAATGCGGTCTAAACACCATTTCATGAAAAACGTGTGGTCTAAACATAATTACATAAAGACTGCGGTCTAAACACCATTTCATGAAAAACGTGTGGTCTAAACATAATTACATAAAGACCATGTGATCTTAACACCATTTCATGAAGACCGTGTGGTCTAACCATCATTGCATAAAGACCATGCGGTCTAAACACCATTTCATGAAAACTTTGTGGGCTAAACACCATTTCATGAACACAGTGTTGGTCTGAACATCATTACATAAAGACCATGCGGTCTAATCACCATTTCATGAAAACTTTGTGGGCTAAACACCATTTCATGAAAACTGTGTTGGTCTGAACATCATTACATAAAGACCATGCGGTCTAAACATCATTACATAAAGACCATGCGGTCTAAACACCATTTCAGGAAAACCGTGTGGTCTAAACATCCTTACATAAAGACGAATCGGTCTAATCACCATTTCATGAAAACCTTGTGGTCTAAACACCTTTCATGAAAACTGTGTTGGTCTAAACATCATGACATGAATACCAATACGTCAAGAAAATGCTGGGGGGGGGAAACAATACGTCAAGACAACGCTGGGTAAACACCAATACGATATTACAATGCTGGGTAAACACCAATACGATATTACAATGCTGGGTAAACACCAATACGATATTACAATGCTGGGTAAACACCAATACGATATTACAATGCTGGGTAAACACCAATACGTCATGACAAAGCTGAATAAACACCAACGTCAAGACAATGCTTGGTAAACACCATGGCCTCGAGTTCGTGTGGTACAAAATCCGAATGTGATTCTAATGTAAATTATTCGTCATTCTATACACCAGTAATACCTTCCACAATGACGTAAGGAGTCCGCTGGAAAGACTACCTAATTATCCGGCATGTACGACTGACAAGGACAGACGGCGTCTGACAGACCCCGGGCTTGTAACAGGTCGGTATGAAGCGAGCTCACGCCCACAGAGCAATTTGTTGACTGATCTGGTAAAGTGATTATGGAGTTCCCCCAACACAGGCTTCCTTGCCGTCAGGAAGCAACAAGGCCTAGCCCGATATGAATAGAACACGATGCTTATAACGAGAACGAAACCCTGCATATACCAATCAGGAAAGTCTTTTTGCATGCACAGGAATTCTTTAGTTACAACCTGGAATAGTATTTGTTTTGGCAATAACAGTGACTTGACGGTGCATTTAGAATATGAAACACGTCAAGTGTTGAGAAAACTGCAAGGTAGTACAAGTTGTTTTGTAATCAGGTATTTATTGTGAATTCGGTTAAAGGAAATCCTACAGTACATATATACTGTTAAAGGCACGGCCTACCTATATACGGGGAGACCTCAGTGCCAGTGTTGGCGGGTTCGGTAGTTCTTAAATAACCTAGAGCTAAAATGATTCTACTGGAAGATCATTGCGTTTTTTCTCCCCACCACCACCACCTGGCGTGTGTTCCGAGTGTCTGTGAACACCAAGGGCGTATTCCCTGCATGAGTGCCAGCGTACTCAAATATTCATTTCTGGTGTCCTACGCCGTGACATTGCTGAAATATTGCCAAAAGCGACATAAAACCACACTCACTCACTCAAATATTAAAAAGATGAAACTGTCAAGTGAAACCAAAATTATGGGTTCTCTCTTGTTGGAATTAAAAGCGATAAAACCCTTTCTAAAACCCCTCAGACCTGAAACCCATTCCATAACCCCACTGGTAGTCCGTCGTACAGACCCTGATACAAATATGTATCAAATATACAGCCCATGCAAGTCTATAAAGTTTGGCAAGTCTAGATTACTGCAGTTCGGGAAAATATCAGTATCTGAAAATGTGAGTCTCTGGGCTCCCTTTTATTATATTTTTATTATGATAATTGAACAGCTGTTTTTTCTGTATGATATGTTCATTTCAGAGATTAGATGTTAGTCTACCCCACTGGCAGGAAACCTTTTTTCAAACCATTCCTCTAAGACTGAAATTCACTTTCATGCACACCACACATTCAGTTTTAGTTCCAGTACCGATGGCGTCAAACAATTGGACGATTCCTTGCACCTCTACTTGCCCGCATGGTGATCCTGGGTTAAGGATGCGATGTGAAGAACTGTGGACCAACAGGTGAAGCGTAAGTCGTCCTGTGACCACAGTCTGGTGCGGTTACGATGCGAGTTTTGTGTCTGAGAAAGCTACTGTACCGGACTATATATTATCTAAAGATATTAAATGTTATAACTATCACAGTCATTTTTCGTCATGTTTTATGAGAATATGTGCGTGAATTGGGTC